AGTCCTTCACGAGGACTTGAAGGCCCAAACAGTTCAGATTTTTCTGGTGGATATTCTACTACAAGAGCTGCAGAAAACTCAATGGTGAGATAATTTAACCACCAAGTTTTAATGCGACAAACGCCCTTCTAGTTGCAAGGATCATTTATGTCAAAAGCGTGCCATGTGCAGTGATGGAGTTCCTAGCGGTTTAGAAATTGTTATCGGCTGAATATACAAATATGATGACAATTAAATGATTTTCAATAAAATATACGTACAATTGTGTAATTTTGTGATGTTTTAGTGAAGATGACGGCAAGGAAAATATTGGAAAATGTAAAATAGACATACTGATCCATCGATCTTCGCACTACGCCTTTGTTTCCAGCCTTGTCCGATTGCCACAGACGTTGTAGTTTTCCAAAGGGCCCTCAGATGTAAACGAAGATATAGAAAGGTCTAATTCAAAGGCTCAATCTACCACTAGAAAAACCAAAAATTCCTCTCGACAAATTTCTTATCATGAACTAAAATATCATTCCTGTTTGTTGCACTTGGCTAGCAACTCACCCAGACATGAAGGAAAGAATTCAAGGAATGTGGAAGATTTCTACGTACGATTAAGCTGAACACGTGGAAATCACAAGAGACAAGCAAATAGACAGATTCTGTTCAGGTGATATAGGATTCGTTAATTCCGTTGCGGGCAAAATCAATTAGAGAAGAGTTAATGTAGGACCTCGTTTGCCCTTTAAACCAGTGCTCAAACTCATCGCTCCTCGTCAATTATTCGCTACGAAATTTTTTTTTTCGCCATGAAAAGATATATTTCTTAGCTATTTCCCCGTGAACTCCTTGTCAATATGAATCTTTTTTCAGTTTGGAGAGCAATTACTCAAAGACAGAGCGTCACATCACCTTAGAAATTTGCGTTGCTAAAAGAGTTTCTGAGTTACCATTACCTTTGGCACAATCTACTATCAAATTCTAATTCTTCAGTCGAGGTAATCGATCAGAGGAAACATCATACGTTATCCACAGGTCTCCCAAGCTTTGGGGTGGTACAACGATTGCATAATAACACAAATGGTTTCCACGCGATAAAAAAGGTGTTATGCGAGGTAAACAATTTTCATGCATTTTTTTAAACAATTTCTGCTTACATTCTTCAGATATTTGCTGAATCAAAACAAACTTCTTTTGATCTACGGTCTTCAGTGCAAAACGACTGGCACACTCACTGAAATCACCTTAAAGCAATTGCGTCAAACTATAATAGATAAATAGCATTTTAACAGACGGATTAGCCATAGCTATCCACGAGAATCTCTGGAAGTTATGCTACGTATGAGTTTAAACTTGAAGATACACATACGCATAAGACCAAAGGATGGGTGGGTGGGGAAAAGAACTTAGCGTAGTAACTTAGAGGAATGCCCGGCGTAGAGGTACAGATCTTCACACTTCTAAACTACACGTTCGATAAGCAAAATAATTGAGTCAATTAAGTAACAACTCTTTTTCTAACTGGTTGCATTTTGTAATGAGAAGGGGAAAACTGAGCGACTACAAGTTTAAGTAACTTTCTGGAACACTTGAAAGTATCATCTGTTAAACCGATAAATAACTCTTACCACATATTGGGTGGGCTTATATAATATACTCCTGTTGCCGACGCGTGCAATATAGTTTTAATTATTACGCAACAGGATTTTCTGCTCCAAAGATTGGGAAATCTGTGCTTCTCCCGGGACCAACGCATGACTCAAAAAGGTCGCAGGTGAAAATATAAAAGCTGCAGACGGAAGAAACACTTATAATTATAGCTATAAACATTGAGGCTAGTCACAAAGGAGATAGGCGTTAAAATAGGCGGATAAAAGGTAAGATTTCCAAGAGAGTCTGTCGATGCTTAGTCTGCATCCACCAAAATATGATAATTTTTTTTTAGCGTTAAAAATAACATGAACTGCGAGATCGACCAAAACCATACACGCATATCAAGTGCCCTCGACGATTTGCATATTTTTGTCCAAATGGATCGATCCTAGATTGTTTGGAGGAGAGTCCATGATAATAATGGCTCGTTCTACGTCAGACATCGCGTCGACTCTTAAGTACGTTCGCTTCACTTGACCTCAAGAGATGATAAGTGTGGACACTATTTTAGTTCTCCTTCGCACTGGGAACGGATGCTTTTGTTCGCGCCGTGAAATAAGAATTACGTGTATTTCTCTGGAAATTAGCTCACTAAAGCGAAACTCGCAACAGCTTTTAACATACACCTATATCTGCGAATTTTCACTAAGCAAAGCTCAGTATTATAACAAAAGAACATCAAACTTTTGCCCGAACAAAAGTGCGATTAAAAGACAAACTTATAGTCTTGAAACAAGGGGTTAATTTTTGGTCTGTTTTGGTTCTGGTCGGAAATCGGGAATTGATCATTTAAATTTAGCATAGAATTGCATGTGGGGATTTTAAAAGAAAACGTAAAGGCATTCATGAGAGGAAGCCAGTATGAAAATAAATTAGCGATTTACCTCTTCAAAACCAGAGAGAGGCAGTTCTAAAATCTTGCGCAGCGTTTGAAGAAGTCATTTAAAAACGAGCAGGGAGAGTGGAAACTAGGTCTGGAACGCGTATGATTGCCGCCTATAGCCTGAAATAAAGTCAGTACTTAAGCAGAAAAAAAAAGTTCCTCCGAATTTACCCTTCGGGACAAGGTCTCTTGCACTTTCTGCTAAGAAAATACAGGACGATTAACTGTAAAAGTTTCTGGATTAATGAAACCCATAAATTATAATGTGCCGAGATAATTGTCTGCTTTGAAATTTTTAAACTCCTTTCGTATGGGATCTGTCAGTTTAAGAGTATGAATGATAATGATGATAAAGCATTTGCATAGAATTTTTCCTAAGAAAAAGGAATAAATTCATGGACAAAGTCCAAAGTCGAGAGTTTGCACTCCTTGAAACTCCAAGGAAAACAAAACTCCGTCTGAGAAATTAAAAGCTCAGCCTTTTGAAAATCGAGGCTAACGAACGCGAAACTGAAGTGGAGTTATTGTTTACTTTATCAGCATTAATTAAGCACCTTAAATAGAAAACATTGTGAAAACCTTTTTTTGTTTATATAAACATCTATGTTATAAGTAAAAAAAAATAAAAGCCGGTATTAAATAACCATTCGATAAGGCCGGAACTAGGGATATGAGCGAACTGCGTTAAATCAAACAAAAAACCTCCGTCGACTACGGAAACCCTTAAGATCGGCTAAAATACCCAGTCCGCGTTCTCTGGCGCAATTTTTCGCAAGAAGATCAGCGAAACTCCTGAACTTTGACTTTCTCGCAGTGGTCAAGTTTTCTCAGTGTAAACGGATCCAAGTGGCGGGAACGGAAATTTTTTCATTAATCGCCTTGAAAAGGGAATAAAAACACGATTCCAAGAGGTTTTGAGTTAAAATAATCTTTCAGTTCCAACCAAGAGGCATGATAAATTCTGAGAGGTCTGGGAGCATTCTGAGACATCAACTGTTCGAAGAATCCAGTTGAAAGCTATTTTTGACCATGATATTTTCCGCGAACATTTTTGGCGCACGGCCAGAATCTTAGCCAAAAACTGAAAGCAGAATTTTAACCGTAATGAATGAGGAGAGAATTCAACCGAATGAAACCACGATGACATAGTAAACAACAAAAAAATAATGCGAAGGTCTTTCTTGACGTAAAATCACGATAAACTATTGAATAAAACAACCTCTTTGCGTGAGTTTCTCAGTTTGGTCTAGCCCTAAAACTTGGCAAAAACCTATGAGAATTGTTTAAAAGAAAAATAACCTTTAAACAATGAAGGCAAAATTTATCGTTAAAAACAATCAGTATCAAGGTATGCGTAACGAAAAATAAAACAATTGTTTTTTTCACTCCTGGATAGTGTCGAAACCTAAAGTAACACTGACATTGACTGAAAAAAAAAAAAACAAAAAAACAAAAACTGTCAAACCAGTTGCATCCAAGGTGAACAACGTCCAATCGATTTTATTTTCCGTGGTGACAAAAAAAAGGGAAGGTGCCGGCGTAAATAGGAAACTCACCGTCTGAAGGAAGTATTTAAAAGCAAAATAGGCCGTAACCAGGTTTACTTCGCAATACCCAACTTCACCGTCAAGGCCCGCTTTCAAAGTGCGGACAGGTGAATTTATGAAAAAAAAATTTCCACAAAATACCGAAATCAAAACATCACTCATATGAAGACCTTGATATCGACGAAGCAAGGGGTGAATTTTAGAGCCGCTGAGGACATTTTTTAAGAATCAATGCCTTATTTTGACGAGTTCAGTTTATCCATAGGCGAAAGGACATTTACGAAAGCTAAAGATAAGACACATCAGCTTTATCCTAATACCCTCACTCTTTGATATCTGTGGGCAAAGTTTTCTTCCCTGGGGAGTTTTTAGAAGTCCCGCTAAGAGTTGCTTGTCCGATCAGTCCGATTACATAATGCACGAGATCTCCACAGAGTGCACGTGCGGCGCGTGCTGAACAATTTTCCTGTTTGACTGCTTACAATCCAGTTTCTGCAAGCTGAAATTGTACCTTTTCAAAAAGAAACGAGGAAAACTGTTCTACACTTTTTGTTCAATATTCTTCGTCTCTGTTTTTGCCAAGAGGGAATCCGTTCTATAAATAACCTTGTTATTACTAAAAATCCTGTTGACTGTTTGAGGTATTTTAAAACTGAATTACGTTCATAATACAAAAAGAGGATTTTCTCTTTCTTCACCTGTTTCTTATTTAGTCGTAGTATTTATATGTCTACATAGTTAATTTAATCGTTTTACAAAAACTTTCGTTTCTTGATATTGTCATCAGATAATCACCGTATTAGCGTGTTCGTTTCAAAGGAGATGTCGTTTAGCTGATTTCGTCAGATATGTTGGCCTTGTGATCTGATAATTTCACCTTAGCATAATCACCCAAAAATAAAAGTCTGTTATGTTAGTTTTAAACTCACCAGTTGTATCCTCTGATGCTGACAATAATACAGAACTGTCTGGTGAGAACTGCGTGGCATACACCGGGCCACTGTGACCATGTAGAGAAACACTCTCACAGGACACAGTTTCCAGTTTTGGTGTGCATGGAAGAAAATCTAGATATACAAAGCAAAATTATATATGAAAAATGGATTTGATTGTAAGGAAACTGTTGTGCTTCATCAACAGAAAAGAGAGTGACAAGAATCCAGTTTCTACCAACAGTATCTGCCCTGAATCAAACATTAAGGTCATGAGAATGAAAGAAATGATTGAAAAATCAAGATACTTTTGATTGTTAGACAAATTCTCCTTGTACGTAACATGGGAAATGTATAAAGAACAGTATGGAGAATATGCATCCTGAAGATAGCATGTAAAGGGTAAGAGGTGTTCCTCCCTTGGGGGTAAACTCCTGCACTTTGTGAAGTTTCCTTAACAATTTACTGATTTGCACACTCTCATTGGTGAGATTTCTTGTGAGACTGAGACATTTAACACAAACACAAAACACAGAGTCACAGGAAAAGGGCTCAAATGCAGACTGATTGGTGTTGCATTCAACCTGCTACCCAGAGCGTCTCCAACAGATGATGCCAAAACTGCCCGCAAATTACAAAATTCAAATTAGTTTGAAAAAGCATGTTGTGCTGTTACATTACAGACACCCATTCATACCTGGTGCTAGTTGTACTTTAGAAATTTCTGGTTTACTCTTTGATCGCACAAGTTTCTTTGGTGTCAAACTCCACAGAAGAATTGAGGAATCTTCAAAGCCACCACAAATAAGACCAGCATCTTTAGAAATAGCGGCAGAGCTTAATCTTTGGAACAAAAAAAAAGCATAAGGAAAAACAAAATTCAAAAAGATATTTTGCACACTTTTTTTTCTAATATTTGAAATCAAATTATGGTATATTTGAGATAGTTATTATTATACTATCAACACTTGTTAAATCCTTTCACTGCTAGCAGAGACCAAAAAATCATTTCTCCTTGCAATTTCACCACAATATTAGGCTAGTTTGGAGTGGGAATTTAGCAAAAATATTATTGAAAGGGAAATTGCCTGATTCAACACAAAATTTTATCTCTAACATTATAAGAAATGTATGACAGAATGCAAGATTTGTTGATTTGTGGAGATGGGAATGAAAAGGCTGAAGCAAGTGGAAAACAAACACATGAAAATCCTTGATCATCAGGGAATGAAATTTGTCAGATATGTGGTTTTTGATGAGTCACCCCTGCTCATGGTCATCACTTTTATCATCACTATCCTCACTACAGTTATGCAACACTAGAACTGCACAACTTTCATTTTGCTTCGAAGGGAGGAGTCAGGAAAGGGGAGAGGGGACTTACAACAGGCTAAAATCTTGAATACAAGTAGCAGCAACTTTAAATTGCTAGAGAAACTGGAGAATCCCTGGGGTGTCCCCCTAGGGGGAGAATCCCCAGGGTTTACCCCTTGGGAAAAATCTGCAGGGTTGCTCCCCAGGGGAGAGTCATTGATTGACTTTTCACATGTAATTCTTACCCTTGGTAAGCATTCACAAAAGAGTGGAAACAAACTGGGGGTAGACAAGCAGGTCCATTTCTGATATGGCCGATGCTTTCTTTTAAAGCTACCAGGCTCTCGTTTTCTTTTTCTGAGCTAGATTTCGCTTGTTTACCACCTCTTGTGGCTCTGTAACTTGACACTGGTGCCTCTGTTTCATCCGTTTCCATTTCATCGCTGGTTTGCTTCTGTCCTGGTTTACTATGCGATATCTCAATGCTAAAGTGTTTGTTCAACAGATGAAGTAATAGCACGTGATCGCCACTTCTTAGAAATTGGACGAAATAAGTAAATACTTTGTTACTTAGTTTGACGACGTATTTACTCCGTCTAAAATTGGACGCTGTATCGCTAGATTTTAAACGTTCTAAGTCCGTTATCGCTTGTAAATGTTGGATTTCTTCTTTGTGCTCGATCGGAAAATCGCCACTGTGCTTTGTGAAAAGTTCTTGAGCAGGAATCGATTGTCCCTTCGCAACAAGATCCAAATAGATGTTGGCAAACATCGGGAACAAAAATTTGGAAAGTTCCACTCTGTAAGCCGGGTTTGTACCCGTTATGAACGATTTCAGACTGGAGAATTGTTCATTCACCATAGCTGGATCTGAACTGTTGATTGCAAATGAGAATACATTAGGAATGCCACTCTCGTTACAAACCGTCCTCTTGCAAGCCATGTCCTCCATTTTGTGTTCCACTGAGAAGTCCTTCATAGAACTTTCACTCTCCGTGTACTTTCGCTGCTTTAAAAAGCTTGTGATTACATTGGATACCTGTTCGTTCATCTGATTCTTTTCATTTACGCTCATATTTTGTTTCAATCGTGCTTATGTAGTTCTTTGACTTATTCAACGGCATGGTCCACCATTTTGTGAGAAAATTAACCGCTGGCTACTATGTGAGCCGACACTATTTGCAAGCTCACGCCATTTTGTATGAAAGCGTCACGCAGTGATAAAGAGGTTACCTGGTTTTCACTTGGCTTAAAAAAAAAGCCTTGCAAGTGATTATCTTGTGAGATGATGTTCAGATATCGTCATGGGGGCTGCTTAGCGTTGTTCATATGAAATGCCATAATTTTTGGAAACAACTTCTTGGAACTTCAATCGTAGACTAGCATTGAAAGGTCGAAGAAGTGTACAGTATGATACTTTCTCCCACGGTATCGGTTTTTTAAGGATCTAAAAAAAGAAACCTGTGGGACACCTGAGGATTACTGTAAACGTCAAAACATCATACAGCTTAAATTATCACAAAGATCAAATTTACAATTATCATTTGTTATATTATAAATTTTCTGTTACAAAATTAAGGAGGCAAAAATAGATTCAAAAACGGCAGAGTAGCAAAGGGTACAAAGTGGTAGTGTCACTGTCGATTTTCCTTTATCGTTGGGGTCGTTCCAATTTGGTACTCTTATTTTTTTCAGAGTGAAATGCCACATCGCTGCCAACAGTCTAAAACGAAAAATTCAACGCGATTAAACGTTAATGCTCCCAATGCTCTTTTCATTTGGTTATGTTTATTCGGACAGTTTACTCTGAGCAAAATCATTCCAGCATAGGTCCACGAGTTTTACACCTGCACTCTACTGTCATTATGCAACATTATAGATATTATTATTTTTTTAAGGGAAAGGGTTGCATTTAGAAACCCACAAATGACCTAGACGCTTGAAAAAGTAGCTGACCTCTCCTTAGTTGTGCGTTGTCTCCGGTGTGGTTTTTTGTGTCAATATGCCCTTTTCTATATGTATCCAGATGTATCGGAAGGATATATTGCACCTCGGAAAAAGCGAAGGCGCTAAAACTAGCCTGCTTCATCATGAATCGGCCCCAAAACCACACCAGAGACAAAAACAAAAAAAAACAAACAAAAAAAAAACCCGCACCTCTACGTCGAGGTAAGTATTTACTTTTTGATCCCAAATATTTTTCAATTTCTTGATACAAATGTTCACTTGCAGAAATCCTCAACTTTGAACTGTTACATAATGAGGTCAATGAGTAAAGATGTATCCGTGTAGCGAGCCTGGGCTATCTAAAGCTTTTTGTCAACTCAACAAAAATGTGGTAAATACATCTTATATTTTTAATATTTTTCTAAAAGTTGTTGAAAAAAAAAAACAATGAAAATCTTGTCACGAAACTGCAACCTTGCGACGTTAAAGTTCCAAAGGTCAAGGTTCTCCTTACCTCCCTCCCCGAAGGATAATATTCCGAATTTTTGGGTGTCGTTCTACCCGATTGGCCAAATACGTTGTCGGATTTCCGCGAAAAATCTCGAGTGACTGAGTCAAAGTTTCACATGCCTGAATCAGTTTGTTTAAGTCAAAGTTATTTTTTTGTCTCATAATGCTGAAAGTCTTTGTAGGGATGTTTTTTGTATAACGTACGGATTTTAAGAAACTGTTTCCACGCTTCTACGAAACGAATGCTACACATGTATTCGTAATCGATCAAGTTCTCGTACACTCCGAACACAGAAACCGAGAACTTTCGAACATTTCCGAAAGTACTCCAAGGGTAAGTGATTACGTAAAGGGCGGCTGAAGGGCGTCTTTCTGCGGGGAAATCAATTTCGCATCGGTTTAAGTACTGTATTAGGTTACGCTTGAGGCCTCTTTCGATCGCCTAGAATAACATCAACGCCGATTTCACAGAGCTATTGCGACACCTAGAGAAGTAGTATCTAAGCTGTTTGCACCGTTTACAACGCTTATTACCAATTCGACTCTAAATACTGAGCTCTCAAAGGCCAAAGTGTAAAGAGTTATCTATATCCACAAGATTCCAATCAACTCAGGTAATTTGTTGACCAATTGCTATATTGAAGTCCTCTAGCGTCAATGTCACTACCTTTCTGTTGTTTGAAGTTCTAAAGCGGTAATTGCCACCACATGCGTCAAACGAAAGTGGCTTCGGTCGATCTTCCCAGCTGGCTAAATTATATTGTGTCTGCGCGCAAACTTCTCTACCGTCTGAGTGCCCGGGAAAGCGCTTATCACTTATCACGATTTTATTTATAACTTTTGCAATCACGGCAGCGCATCGATATTATTCTCATCCGGGTGCGGTAAACGAGAAAAAAAATCATTTGCCAATTTTTGGCCATTTATTGTAAGCGTATTATTTTGCATAATTGTAATCCTCTTTCATGCATATTTGATGTTATCGGTGATGAATAATCATGGTAGTTCTTAATTCCAACTCCCGTTGAGATGTTGATACAGTTGCGATGATCTTTCTACTACTCTGAGCCAAGTTAACAAGTTTGTATCTAGAAAGAAAACAATTAGTTGTCGAGCTGGGAGCGTGATATGGGTAATACTGGTAAGGGGATAAATTTTGATCAGTTGGGCTTTCTTGGGTGTTCGTACTAACCCAGAGCTATTTTACCTTCAATGTAACATTGTCTTTATTGGCGCAATGCATCATTGATTGTTGTTAGAAATTACCCCATGTAAACAGTGTAACTAGAAGGCAAACTTGGAGCTCTGTGGTTGAATTAAGGAAGATGTTAGTAGTTATTTGTCTGAAGAGCCAGACAGAAAACTAAACTCTGATTCACTTTTGACGGTTTCATGATTCAAAGGGGGTAGCCCTCCCTTCCCAGGTTTTTAGGGTGGTTGTTCCACTATCTGTTAGTTAACTTTTAGCTATTTTTCCTATTGTTACATACCAATCCAAACATCAAATTCTGTTTTTTATTCTTGCAGATTTTGTCCCCTTTATTATCAGGCAACATGTTTTCAGCTATTCCTTTTGCAAAGTCATTATTTGAGACTTTGTCTCAAGCTCTCACAGGAAGAGATGAGGTGTGTAACCATGACTTTGTGCTATCAATTCAGCTGTAGAATACACCTTTTTAGGAGTAGATTGGACATACTTTGTACCAGTCAATTATTTTTTCCTAGAGTATTGTTTAACCCCAAAAATTGACCTGCCCTGGTACATCTTATTTCTCCTTACAACTTCACCTCAGATTCAAGCATTTGCATTAAAAGAAGAAAGGAAATGATCTTCAAGCTTGTGATTGTTAAACATATTCTCCTTGCGAGTATCATAGGAAGTGTATGGCGGATATTTTCAAGAGTATGCATACTGATATTAAATATAGAGGGTTAATTCTTGCTGCCAGCACTCAATTTTCAGGTCATTTAGAAGCAGCTGGGAATCCCCTGAGATGTTTCAGGTCATTGATAAATAGAATCAAACAATTAAGTTAGATGTTACTGAAAGACAATTATCAGTGACTTTCAGTGTAGAACATCCAATCTTAAATAATAATCAAAAAATCAAATTACAAATTAAACTTTTGTCAATTTGTTTCATTCATCACAGGTGTTAGAGGTTTTGGGTGCATTTGACCTGTCCAATGAATCACTACAGGAAATCATGAGTCTTCTTATTGGTGACTTTCAAAAAGGGCTCTCTGCTGATGAAAGTGAGCGAGCAGAAAGCCCAATTAAAATGCTTCCTACATATGTAAGGGCCATTCCGGATGGCTCCGAAGAAGGAGACTTTCTAGCCTTGGATCTAGGTGGAACAAACTTCAGAGTTCTTAAGATTTCACTTGAAGATGGCAAAGTTAACATGGAAAGTGAAATATATCCTTTGGCCCAAAATCTGATGACCAGTGATGCAAATACTCTGTTTGACTACATCGCTGGCTGTATATTACTCTTTGTGAAGAAAAACAAAATAAGTGAAAAGTCGCTGCCATTGGGGTTCACATTTTCATTTCCTGTAAAGCAGTTATCACTGACATCTGGCCTGTTGATAAGATGGACAAAGGGTTTCAGTGTTGACGGAGTGGAGAATGAAGATGTTGTCAAATTGCTGCATGAAGCACTTATAAGGAATGGAGTGGTAAGTTTTATAGCTATAATTCTAAGTAAGGGCCTTTTCGCTCTAGCAAATAAACTAGAATTGTCCTAACAAAATCAAAGACATTTTTGTTTTGTCTGTTGCATTTGCATTAAAAATTTGAAAGCCGTGAAATTTTGTCAGCACCTGATCTGTTCGTAAGACCAGCCAGCTTAGTTGCCAAAGGATTCCACCTCCAATTTCCAGGATTTATTTTATGTCATTGTAAAATTTTAGAATCCCCAAGTTTTGCAGCAAAAGACAATTTTTGCCTTTCCAGTTAACTGATTTCAGTTCAATTACATGCTTGTCATAGCTTATGTGATAAATGATTGACAAGCTTATCAGAGTTTGTTTATTTAGTTGATTTTGCCAAATTTTTATCCTGGGCAAATTTTGTTGGTGGTGCATTTGAAGATTTGTCCACTACAGTCAAAATTTTGTTAAGTCAGGGCAAACCATCCACATTTGTAAAATGTTGGTGATGACTGAAAATTTGTCTAAATAAACAACTTTGTTGCTAGTATGGAAAGGCCCTTAAAATCAATTTCTAGAGAATTAATTAATGGAATTATTATTGTAGTGCATTAGGCAAATTTTGATTGTGATGAGAAAGCTCCTTAAAATTTCTGGATTTGGAAATACAACATTGTGATTTTGGTACAACGCTCAAACCATCTGAGTTGTAAAGCCTCTAATGTGAGGCTTAGCAAGACATGTGAAGACTTTTACATTCTCGCAAGTTTAATAATATTACAGTCCAACCTCAATTATCCAGATCTTGATTATCTGTGTTTTTTTTTATTTTCTGGAGTTACATCTATGGTGCCATCAATTTAAATGTATTAATTACTCACATTCAAGAATTGCAACACCTTTTTTTTTTCTTCCATCAAACAAAACACATGCACTCAAACTCCCATTGGGACTGAATTTGTTCCATTTTCCAAAGCTGTTGAATTAACATGGATGGGAAGACTAAACATTTTTGATGTTGTTAAGTTCATGCACCCTCAAAGAATGATGAAGTTAACAATGCATACACTCTATAGCAGCTTGAAAGATATGTTTGATAAAAAATTCATATGTTTGATTAATATTGGACTCTCAATTATCCAGACTTTTCACGAGTCTGGATAAGCAAGGCTGGACTGTACCAACAGATCAGCTGAGAGCTCCTTTTTACATGTAACTGCACACCTTTCTGCTCTCAAAAACTTTTTAGGGAATGGAAGGTCAAGTTTGCAGACAGCTTTTAACATTTTTTAAGTTTTATATCTAATATAGGATTTCTTCATTTCTAAATTGTGCTGTTTTGTAGAGTGCTAGTGTGGATGTTGTGGCCCTCGTCAATGACACTACAGGTACAATGATGTCCTGTGCATTTGAGAATCCATCAGTCAGTGCTGGGTTAATCTTGGGCACTGGAACCAATGCTTGCTACATGGAGAACCTTGATAATGTTCCTAAGTGGGACGGAGATAGAGATGAACCACGACAAGTGATTATTAACACAGAATGGGGTGCATTTGGTGATAACGGAAGCTGGAATCACCTCCGAACAAAGTATGATGAACAGGTTGACAAGGATTCCCTGAATCCTGGAATGCAATTGTAAGTGAAATCCGAGTTGTTGAACCAGGCGAGCCAATCACCACGAGTAAATGATTTGAAAAGATATTGATAAATCAGGAAATAATTTGTATTATGATTTGACCCATAAGGCCCTGCACACTCAACCCCATTGAAAACTATTATAGTGAAAGCTTACATGTATAGGGTTGGATGTTTTGATAAAGCCAGTCAGGAGAAAGCTGTCCAGCCATGCACTCATATAGCTCTGTAGAATATTCTAAATGTGTAAATTGAAATTGGTATAAAACAGATGTGAAAAGAAGTCATACATCTCAATGAATTACATGTTTCTTGTTCGGACTCAAAGAAAAAAAGGAAAAGTTTTTGCTGTAGTAGAAACTTTTAAAAGTTGTCCAGTGTGTACCCTTCTATTAAAACATTTTTCAAAATTTGCAAAAATTAGTGTTCATATCACAAGATGTGATAAAATGCGTATCAAATGAGTTTGGTGGGGCCAAATGGGAAAATATTTGGCTCTTGTTCAAGATGCATAGACCTTGTGCTACTCTCCCCCTCAGTGGATAAGTAAATATTATCGTATATGATTGATGTCCCATTGAGTGACCATGCACTGTTCTGGACATAGAGGTCCTGTCCTATATAACTGCAGTGTTATATAGAATACTTTCATCGTAATTGGGGTTTTTTAAAGTAGGATTGCATTGCATAGTCATATGATTCTCTGGAAATATTTTTGATAGCTTGTAGTGAATTCTCTTTATTTAAATTTCCCATCAGATTTGAGAAGATGATTTCTGGAATGTATCTGGGTGAACTTTGCCGAATTGTTTGCATGGACTTGGCTGACAAGAAACTGCTGTTCAAAGGACAAGCCAGTGACAAATTCAAGACCAAAAACAGCTTCCTTACCAAGTTTGTGTCTGATGTTGAAAGGTAAACACAGAAAATATGTGACAGATGAAGTGTACCAAATATAATGTTATCATGTTATTGCAAGGGTACAACTTGGGGAGATCCTGAGGTGCCTGTGACACCTTCCTTCCCTCCCCAACCTCCCCCCCCCCCCCACACACCTTTGTAAGTATTTTTTTTTTTTTCCAAGTAAAACACAGCATGGAAGTCAACATGACAACCTGATGAAAACACAGTATGACACCCACCCCAACTGATAAATCCTGGTTACATCCCTGTATTGTCTGTTTATCAGTGTGACTTGGATAGGTGATGGGGGGGGGGGGTTTAAGCCACTTGCACTTTTTGATCAAGATTTCAGGCAGTTATTCAGAAAGACCTCAGTAGTTTCCTATGTGGCCAAAGGAGTGATCCTCGTTATTTATCAATTTTTTTTGACAGTCATCAAAGGCACAAGATAGATGAGGTTCTGAAAGAATTGGGAGTGGAGAAACAAACATCAGAGTCAGATATTGAGGTTTTGCAGCGAGTTTGTGCTGCAGTCTCTATAAGAGCTGCGAGACTGGCTGCAGCAGGGATTGCTTCAATCGCCAAGGTGTGTATTGTAAATTTGTAATTCTCTATCTTTTTTTTCTCTATCAGTGGAGCTTGCAGAGCATAGCCCCATAATTATACAAAATAGTAGTAACCCATCAAGCCAAAAAAATTTGGATGTATGACTGTACGACTGTACGACCATACAAGGTGCTACTTTTGCACTCCACAGAGTCTATGTGGCTCAGTGGTAGAGCATTGGAGCACACGATCTGAAGGTGGCATTCATGGCATTGTTTAATTCTGACTGATTTTATCTTGTTTTTATGTACAGAAAACAGGAAACTACACGACTACAATTGCTGTTGATGGAAGCCTCTTTAAAAAACACCCACAATTCAAACGTTACATGCAAGAGACTCTGTCTGAAATTTTGCCACAAAGCAACATCACCTTGATGCTATCTGAAGATGGTTCAGGCAAAGGAGCAGCTCTCATAGCTGCAGTTGCATCAAAATCAAAAAAACACTGAGCCTTTCATCAGCTGAGTGGCATTAATAATTATTTAATATTTCTATTGCAATAATCAAATTTTGCCATAGAATAGCTAGTAACAAGGACCTTAAATCTAGAACAACACTACGACAAGTGTTTGGTGAGACAAAAGTTTCATGAACAGACAAAAGCTCTTTCAAACCCAGGTTGTTCTGGTTCAAATTTATCCTTGGTTTAAATTCAATTCAACTTATTTTCAAGTTGTGGTATTGAATGTTAAATAATGAGTGTTAAACAAAGACTTTGAACCATGGATGAAATTGAACAATAACAAGTACAATATAATCGAGGCAGGTATTTTTTTTTCTTTTTCTTTTTTTTTTTTTTTGCAATCTTTGCCTTACTAATTTGCACACACAAAAACATATTTTGGAATTATTTTTAAATTTTTTTTTTTAGAGGTATTTACTGTTTTTTTTAATTCTGACAAGGTGAACACTGACTGCAAATTTCTTTTGTGCACTTGATAACAGTGATTACAGTGGTTGCTGGAAAAAAGGAATTCCAGTTCATCTTGTATTTAATTTTCCATTTTGGCCCAGGAAATTAGAAATCAGGAATGAAATAATAGCTCCAGATAGAATGTTTTTTGGATTGGTTGTTTTTTCCTTTGTCACAAGAATTGATCTGGGAAGTGTTAGGACAGTAAACTCTGAGCTTAATTGTGTTAGTATCACGGAGTAGGGTCAAAATAAAGAGGAAACATGCATCTTGCCTCCAGTATTATTTTGTGCTTTAGAAAGAGAAACCATTCAGTCACTACAAAAAATTAGCAATGAGACGCGTGAAACTTCTATTTTAAACCTTTTAACTCCCATGAGTGACCAAGACAGAATTTCTCCTTACAATATCAAAACAATATCAAGCATACAAGTTATAAGAATAAAGAAAAATATCAGTTTGGAGATTATAAGATGATCCAATAATAAATCCTCCAAACTAACATCACAAGAACTGTATGGGAGATAGTAAGGAGAATTACTAATGAGATCTTGGGAGTTAAAGGGTTAATGTGAATAGATTGGTAGGTTTGTCTTCCATAACTAGTGTGATAGACTTACTTTGACTTTGAATTGTTTTTGTGGTTGGTATGATTTTCTCTGTTTGTTTGTTTGCTAACATAAGTCATCGGAAGAGAGCTTATTTCTTTCTAGTTTGACTTGTACAGGAAACATGTTTTGTATCTTAGTCAGAGGAATTGACCAGGCAGGGGAAATCTTCTAGACAGTAGGGTTTCATCTGAAGTGTGTTTTATGTTTTTGTTGCGTAGCGATTTAGTTAGAAGCTGTGAGAAAAATGAGGTCAGTCATGTTACAGTCACTCTCCTTTTTGTTAAACCTTTTGCTCCCAATATCTCATTTTTTAAATTCTCCTTACTGTCTGCCATTCATTTGTTATGATCAACTAGCAATCCCCTGATTGATATTTTTCTTTATTCTCATCACTCGCCTGCTTGAAATTGTATTGATATTCTAAGCTGAAATTCTGCCTTGGCTTCTTGTGGGAGTTAATGGGTTAGACAATTTTCGTCATCAAAAAGTGTAAATAATAAAAACTAAATAGTTGGTCTCATCTTTGTGTAGCAATTATTACACAGTAGTTTGATAAGTTTTTCTTTGGTTTATTTGTTTTTTGTTTGACTTCAAGATACTCGTAGGTGACATTATCATTCACTATTCGTTCTTAATACTTAAAACTGCATCTGCAGAACAACGCCCCCTCAAGATATACCCAAAAGGCTGCAATATTTATCAAAACTGCTGGAGTTTTGTACAGCACAGAATGAACCTGGTGTACATTTTTAAGAAATAAACGTGGTTTGAAAAAAACAATTCGAAAGTGTCGTTTTTTGCCGTTGCTATTGTTTTGTGTTTTTACGTTAGATGCCACAGGCAGACCACGTTTAAAATTACAGTCGAATTATTTCGTATGGTAATTAGCCACGTGCTTGTGCTTCTCACGGAAGTTAAGCGCTTTGGCCAGGGTTGATACTTGGATGGGTGACCGCACATAATACTTCATGTTGTTGAGTTTTCTTCTCTTGTCGTCATTTTGCGATTTAATTCCAGTTCTAAGGGAAGCTTGCATGACTGGTCTGTTTAAGAGGCTGGCACTAAGTCAGTATTGATTCATCATTTTCCACATATATCCAGAGTGAGTGTAGGGAACGACCAACGCCTCCTAGCGTCTTGTTTCAAAAAACAAATAGGATTAGAAACATTTAAAATAAAGATGACAGATAAAAATTAATCGAACGTAGTTTGGCTTACTCGAATTCGTCGAAACGTCGTTTGAAATAACTATCATCGCTAATTTTTGTTTCATTTCTCATGTCAATTGTTTCGTCTGGCTGTAAATTCTCGGTCAGTTGTGTGGGTATCTGTGGAAACTGACCTTATGTTCTTAATTTCTATCTAATCGTCACGCCTCAGTGGTAGCCTATGTGATTTTACCATTGTGAAGTGGTTTAAAGGCCCCTAAAAACCCCCTCCTTTCCCCTCCCCACTCCTGGCTTCACCCACTTTAAGATTGATAACGAGGTCACTACTTACTTCCGTCACATCGATAACTTTCTTTCGGTTTTACTTCAGCTAACGAAGGTTAAATTTTTGTTGCACAAATTGTATAGACGATCGAGTTTCCAACGAAGCTTTGGAGGAGCAATGTTGCTTTAACTAATACATATTCATGCGTTTTTAAAGTTATCAAGTAAGTTCATTAACTTACATTTGCCAAAACGTACTTCCTCTATCTGGTCCAAAGTCGACGACAGCAGAACAGCTCGGGGCACGGCAGTTCCTATATATATTTTTTTTATTATTTCCTTTTCTTTCCTTTTTTCTTTAATCTACTAATATTCCGAATTCTTCAATTTCTGAAGGCTTCTCTTTTAATTTTTAAAATATTCAAATGCCTTTTTTGCAGATTTAAAGAGTCTCGCAGAATCTGTGAAAGTTGAGAACATGTTTGCAGCCACATCTTTCGCACAATTAGTCTGTGAATCTCTGACGAGGGCTTTCACGAAAAGAGACGAGGTAATAGGAAAGCTTACTGATTTTGCCGCTTTTTTTTCATATGTACAGAACATCGGTCAAAACCAATTTCAGCATTAAAAAGGGCGATCAGTAAACTGAAGGGGGAATATCTTTTGGATAGGTTTGTGCTACCTTGTTCTAAAATTTGGTCCCTGTTCAGACAGAACCTGCTCTCTAAATTATTACCCTGTTATAGAAATATGTCAGTTGTGAATGAAACGACCACAAAAAATTGGCAGGCGGTAGCTCACAGTTTGAAGCGTTTGTGCGTTCCCTAAATAATAACCCAAATGTCTCTAAAAATGGATTCTCCATTTTAGAAAAGGAGTCCCATGGGCTGACTTGTGCTTGTGTAGGATTTTTGTTTGCGGAAGTGAAAAACTTACCAGAAGCCATCATCAGAGTAGGCTAAGGCTAAGCCTGTTGAAACGCTAGTCACTACGAACAACAGCCCTTCTCAGGACTTCTCTCACCCAGACGAACAGACTACACAAACAGTTAAAATTAATTTGAGACTGAGTACACCTCCTTAATCAATCTAAACAGTTTTAATGTAACTTACCAGCTTCAAGATGTGTGTTTACAGAAATAACTTGAGCTGTTTTTTTTTTTTTACGCAGGTATCAGATGTTTTAGGGGCGTTTGACTTGTCGAGGGAAGCCGTCCTGGAAATCACCAATAGATTATGGAAAGACTTTGATAGAGGCCTCTCTGCAGATGAAAACGAACGAGCGAACAGCCCGGTCAAAATGCTTCCAACTTATGTGAGGAAGATACCTGATGGTTCAGAATCTGGCAACTTCCTTGCAGTGGATCTTGGTGGAACAAAGTTCAGGGTGCTATCAATCTCCATACAAAATGGCGAAATTAAAGACAAAATTGAATTCCCGCCTCTTGACCAGACAATAAAAACTAGTGATGCTGAAACGTTTTTCAATTACATCGCTCACCATATTTCTCTCTTTGTCAAGAAACATGAGCTAAATGATCAATTGCTGCCACTTGGGTTTACATTTTCTTTTCCAGTGAAGCAATCATCACTCTCGTCAGGGTTTTTGATTCGATGGACAAAGGGATTTACTGCTTCTGGGGTAGTAAATGAAGATGTTGTCAAACTACTTCAGGAGGCACTTGGAAGAAAGGGGATTGTGAGTTTATTAATTTGGAGAATATGAAAACTACTTTGACTTGTCTGGTGATCATGGAATTTTTCGACATGGATGGATATATTTCACACATTTTCAGTTCTTCACGGGTTTCAATTAGTCATATACAGAATTTAGTGAGAGGAAAAAAAATAGGGAAGGAATGCTAAGGACTCTAGGAGAACAGCATGAATTTAACAGGGTTTTGAACAATGAGTAAAGAAAAATTATAATCTATGTTATTCCACAGGGTTCTAATGTGGAAGTGTTAGCCATTGTCAATGACACCACAGGTACAATGATGTCCTGTGCATTTAAAAATCCATCAGTCAGCGCTGGGTTAATCTTAGGAACTGGAACCAATGCTTGCTACATGGAGCACCTTGATAATGTCCCTAAATGGGATGGAGATAGAGATGAACCACGACAGGTGATTATTAACACAGAATGGGGTGCATTTGGTGATAATGGAAGCTTGAATCATGTTCGGACAAAGTATGATGAACAGGTCGACAAGAATTCCCTGAATCCTGGAATGCAATTGTAAGTGAAATCCAAGTTGTTGCTTTTTGGTGAAAAAATGGTTCCTTAAATCATCTTCTCACAGAGTATGATAAAAACTCACTGGAGAATCCAGTAACTCTCATAAACAGCTGTAAGTTATTTGTGCATATAATGAAAAATGCATCTTAATCCTTAAGGGGGGAGGACAGGGCACTTTCTAGTAATTTGCTCATGGGGATTTGCTGTTGAATGGGGTTACATTTTCACAACTAAATTGACTTTAATGGGGTTGCATTTTCAAGTTACTAGAATAGGGTTGCACATTTTTGCTTGGGGTAAGAAATTCTGATAAGCTGGGATTTGAAAATGGGATGGTTTGCAGATAAAAAGTTGTTACTGTACTACCAAAAGTGATTTAAAGGGGTCTATAATTGGCCTCAGAATTGACTATAAAGGGATCAGGGATCAGGGATCAGGGATCAGGGTTCTAAGAAACCTGGGGCATAAACCCAGCAAACACTGACCCAAGTATCCCCTCCCCTCCTTCCCCCCCCCCCCCATCCATTGTGCTCCATGTTGGAAATCTGTGCAATTTTTCCTTCTTTTTCAGATTTGAGAAGATGATTTCTGGAATGTACCTTGGTGAACTTGTCCGCATTGTTTGCATGGACTTGGTTGACAAAAAACTGCTGTTCAAGGGACAAGTCAGTGAAAAATTCAGGACTAAAGACAGCTTCCCTGCTGAGTTTGTGTCTTGGGTTGAAAGGTATTTGACTAGGGGACCTGTCATTATTTATTACTGGCCCCCCTTCCCTCCCTCGTAGATATGAATCATGATTGGTCCCCAAGAGCAGAGCAAACAATTAGAGCACTGTAATCATCATAAATAAATGCTTAATCATATTCCTCAAGACAAATGAAAAACAGTTATATATCTTTCTCTAACAGTGGAGAAAAGCACCAGATAGATGAGGTTCTAAGAGATATGAAAATGGACAATGAACAAGCAACAGGATCTGATATTGAGATTTTGCAGCGAGTATGTGCTGCAGTTTCCATAAGAGCTGCCAGACTGGCTGCAGCAGGAGTTGCTACAATTGTCAAGGTGTGTATAGTATAATTGTAAGAAATGTAATTTTCCTTCTTGGCTCCTGGAATGAATATTACAGTTATAAATTCAAATTTTAGTAGATTTTCAGTTTAATCTTTTTCAGTCTAAGATTTTTGGCTCCCTCTTTAATCAGCTACTATAATTTCATTCCTCCTGAGTAATTAATGTGAAACTCAAAAGACCATAAGCACTGGAGATAGTTTTGAAATGTCAGTTTGTTAAGAAGGCAAAACCAATTAGAAGTGAGATTCTAACAGAAACAGCACTTTAGGCATGAGGGTTTCTGTTCATCCTGATACTCATTTTGATTTCTGTTTTTGTTATGACATTCTTACATTTTAACAGAATGATTTGAATTCATTATTTTTGTAAACAGAAAACAGGGAAGTACACAACTACAATTGCCGTCGATGGAAGCCTCTTCAAAAATCACCCACAATTCAAACGCTATATGCAAGAGACTCTCAGAGAAATTTTACCCCAAGCTAACATAACCCTGATGTTATCTAAGGATGGTTCAGGCAGAGGAGCTGCCCTCATCGCAGCAGTTGCTCAAAGAATGTATAGCACTTGAGCTCATGGCAATATTTTTCAGAAAATTTTTTTAATTGTATTATTGAAGATTGAAAAGAAAGAAATTTCCATTAAATATTGTAAGCCCACAAGTAGCATTTTAAAATATGCAGAGGATAAATACTGACTGCCTAGAAGTTAGACTTTTACCTCTAAGTCTGTAAACTGTATTCTAAAAAATGCAATTCTGATATCAAATATTCTCAATGAATTATCAATAATATAATTTAATTTTTGTTTATGCACAGTTAAATGAACAAAATATAAGATTTAGCCCCCAAAAATTGGGAGCCTCTTTTTTAAAATGTACAGAACTGTAGAGAAGAACAACACAAGTCCAAAGAAAATCAATAATCTGTCTGTCACCTCTCTTCTGTTATACTTATTCAGAAGATTCTTGCTTGTCTGGATTACTCCTGATAAACCTTTGTATTCTTCTTGTGTGTCCTTAACTTGAGAAGAAGATTGTGCTGAAAAAAATTTACAACAAAAAAAACACTGATGAATTGTGCAGTAAACACAAAAAAAATGGGAACAGTGTCAGCCTCTGAGAAATTGTGGGCCTACCCTTCTCCTAATCCAACAACAGTTAACTGATGACAAGTTGGGGTTAATGTTGGGTCAGGGGAGGTAAGTGTGCAGTTGCTCAGATACTGATATTGATCTTGAAATTGTTTAGGAGTATGGTTAATTAAATTAAGGTCTGTAAAACCATTTGACCTTGCCAACTCTCAGCATTATGCTGTCAAAACACAGCGATTCAAAATGACAGAGGGTGATTCAATCATGCCACTAACCATAATACAATTTCTTAATTCATTGTTCTTCACCAAAATGAATAACCACAACATTTGTCAAGATCTTATGATTACCTCTATCACAATGATTATAACTGTTCAACAGCAAGAAAAATCTATTCAAGCAAGGTCATCGTATACAGCTTAATAATTATTAATAATTAATTAATAATTAATTAATAATTAATAATAAATAATTAATAATTATTATGAACCCTTCAACTCCAAAGATCTGATAGTCAATTATCCCCTCTAGCTATTACATATTTCCTTTGATGTTAGTTACAGGAGTTCGGTATTAGATCAAACCAACAAATTCTACATGATATGTCTGAGTATTCTCATTACCTGTTTGCTGAATAATGTAGGGTTATTGCAGGGAGAAGTTAGATGTTCATCACTTCTGGGAGTTGAAGGGTTAATGATAGTAAACTTTGAGCGCCCCTCTTTGTGGATCTTACCTAGTATCTGCATATCGGCTTCACTCTGTTTGACTTGGCCATCCATCATCCTAGCGATACTCATCAAATCTTGAGTTATGTTACTGGCAGTCTTTGCTAAATTTTCTTTGTTGAAGGTTCTGAAAAGTAACACAGAGGTGAGCAGTGAATCACTTAATAATCATTATGGAATAAACTAAGTTACAAGAAGTAAATTGACAATCGACCCTTTCACACCCAGATCTCACTGGTAATTCTCCTTACTGTCTGCCATACAATTCTTATCATGTTTCTTTGGAGAATTTGGAATTGGATCAACTTATCCCCTAATTAATATTTTTCTTTCTTCTCATTACTTGTCTGCATAATATTATATTGATATTGTAAGGAGAAAGTCTCTCTTGATCACCTATAGGGGTTAAAGGGTAAACAAAGGAAGGAGAAAGTGTAGTGAAGAAAGAAATCTCCCAGACCTACTGCTTGAAAAGAAAGTTTTATATGCTAAAAAAGATGCTTAAGTTTGTACTCAAGCCAAGTAGCTCATCCAGCTGGAGATTATCCAGGTTACCATTAGCATGAAGCAACTAGAAGTATTACCACTCCACCCTGGATGGGATACCAGTCCATCCCAAGGTTACATCCCCAGCATTTTGTCAAGGTTACACCCCCTGCATTTCATTAAGCTTCCCTGCCAACTTTCCATTAACCATTTATATTCCTGGGTAAAGAGAGGCAGTGTAAGACTAAAAGGTTTTGCCCATAATAGTATACATGAAAAAATTACTCAGTTCTAATTGCTTAAGATAAATGCAGTTTCCAGATAATTCAATGCAGAAGAGGGCTAATTCAGAGCAAAGAAGTAACAAACCAGACTGAACAATTCCTTGAACTGTTTAGCCAGACTTTGAACTTTTTTGTGCCTTAAAGATGTGAAAATATCATTGTATATTATTGTTTTAATCATACACGGTTGTTTTGACTGATAGCACAATTTCACTTGCAGGGTTTGAATAAATTTTTTTTGCACTTGATGCGCGCACTTTGCTTCTGCATAATTATGATAAGCTATCTCGTATTTTTTCATGTATATTATTAATATGTAATCACATGATTTTTCTTGTGCAATTTGGAATAAATAAGCTCTTCTAAATTTTTTTGAAGACCACAAATTGCACAAGCCCTTTGTGCTCGTGCAATTTTGCTAGTCTTTGAAAAAGTTTACTTTTGCTTATTCATTCCAAATTGCACTTGAAATCATGTAATCACCTTTACAAAACAAAATGCAATGATCCAGCCAGGACTTGAACCTAGACCTCTTGACTTGAAATTTAGCTCATTAACAATTAGGTAACTTTGCTTCCCTGGAAGTGATTCATAATAAGAAAGAGTCCATTTCATGGTTCAACAATTTTTGTAATGTGTTTTATTTTTCCAACCTACCTGTTTCTTACACTGGAAGCTTGTCCTCCAAACAATTCTTCTTTTTCGCTTTTGTCAATTATTGCCATGGAGGCTACATTGGCTTTCCTAATGGATGCTTGCAGGCTGAAAATTACAAAACCCACATGATAGAAAGTAGGCTTATTAGAGATGGGGCTTTTTAGAGAGAGAGACCTAATAGAGAGGGTGCTTATTTAAACCTATTAGAGAGGGGCTATCAGAGAGGGGGGCTTTCAGAGAGGGAGGCTTTCAGGGAAGGGGGCTTTCAGAGAGGGGGGCTTTCAGAAAGAGAAGCTTACAGAGAGAGGGACTTTCAGGGAGGGGGCTCTCAGAGAGGCGGGCTTTCAGAGAGGGGAGCTTATCAGAGATAGGGACCTTATAGAGAGAGGGGGTTTATAACAGAGAGGGGGGCTTATTATAAAGAGAGACAAAATAGGGAGGGGGGTTAGTAGAGCAGGGAGCTTGATTAAGAGGAGAGTCTTGTAAGAGGGGGGGACCAATTGAAGAAGGGGACATCAGAGCAGGCTCTTGTTGGAGAGGGAGACTTTTTTGCAAGGGAGACTTATTAACCCTTTAATTCCCAAGAGTGACTAGCATCTAATTTCTCCTTTCAATATCACCCCTGAATCAAACATTGAGGTCATGAGAATAAAGGAAATGATAATCAACTGAAGAATCTCTTGATTGTTAAACAAATTATCCTTGCTAGCACATTAGGAAATGTATAGAGAACATTATGGAGAATATGCATACTGATGTTAGTGTTAAAGAGGGGGCCTAATAGAGAGGGTGGTCTGGGCTTACTTCAGCATTCATTGTAAAAGTAACATAGCATTGTAAACATGAACAGAGGTTCTCCCTGTCAAATTACTGTTGTATTATCTAATACCTTTGAAGTTCTTTTCTATGATGCTGCATGGCTGCTAATATTGCTAATCTGTCTGATTCTTTGTCTTGCTCAAATGCCACTTGCTCCAGGACCTATGGTAGAGTTTTCATCAATAAATGAAGTAGCAGGAAAAAATTACATGGGAACAGAATTTCAATAACATCTGAAGACAGAGTGCATGACTCAGGCCATCATAATTTAGCTGCAGAATTCTGTGTTGTAACCCTGGAAGTCTCCAATCTTTGATGCTCTGTTACCCAATGAGCACCCAACCCTATATGCATGCATATTGTAATCAGTTATAAAGATAACATATAAATTGTGACATATATTAATAACACATTCAAGTTATTCATTAACATTATTTTTTTGCACGCCGTAGGTAAACGAAAAAAAACTGCTTTTGAAAATAGCCATATCCTTTCCTTTTTTTCGGAAATTTTGGCAAATTTTTCTTTAAAAGTTATCTCTTAATTTCATCAAGTATCCTTAAAGGCGAAATCTTAATTAAAATGACCATGAATGTTATGATTAAATTTTTTAGTCCTGGCCCGACGACGTCGACGAATGAAGTGAAGATCCCCTTTCCTGCTTTTATTTTTTCTTAGGTATGGGGAACCAGGTAATTTAGTGTAAACAACTGGGTTGAAAACGTAAATTAGCCACCGTAAAGGGTAAAAAAGCTGACGTTTCGAGCGTTAGCCCTTCGTCAGAGCGATAGGGGAACCAGTTATTATCCAAAGTTAAAATTTCAAACACAGCGTCTGAATTTAAATCCAGAGCGTAGCATTCCAATTTCGCCAAAATATATGTAAAGAAATTCACGAGTCGTACGTATAAAATAATTTTTGCTTACCTCAACTTTCTGCCTCAAAGAATTGATCTTTTGTTTTACTTTCAAATTCAAGTCGTTCAATAGACTTAATGGCCCCTGGCATTGTCGTATACTTTGAACATTATTTTGTATCTCAAACTCAACCTTGACGATTTCTTGAACGTGAATTTTAACTTGGACAGGAACCTCTATGCCGTCCGCCATTTTGAAAAATGCCCCAGCAAAGGGTTGTGGGAAGGTACAAAACCAAAACTGACTAGGGAGGTGCGAACTTCATTTAGATCGTCTTTTGAAAGCACTTTTTTCACTTTCTTTCGAGACCGGCTAGTTTTGTTTACTGTCATATCGTCGTAGTTTATAAACTTTTTCCATAATTTGTGATATTTCCTGCAATATCCTCCATATTTCATCTAGTATATTCCCAATTACTGGTAATATTTGTTGCATAGATGTAAAAAAACCCGACAAATATTCGGAAACTTTCGCTTCCACTCGGAGATCTACAAATTGTCGATGAGTGTTCGGCTACCGCCAATTTTGAGCCATGTGTGTCGCGGGAACCAATCAGAATTGATAAACCGTTGTTCTATCAAGCAACGCTTCGCAGAGTCGCTGCACGCCGCCAAAGATTCACTGTTTTAACTTAATTTTACCGCGTGGATTTCAACTCTGTCGTCTTCTTGGATGGCAGCAGTGGAAACCAGAGATGACAGTGGCTCTTCTGAACCTTCAGAAAGCCCCGTATCGAAGGAAAGTAAAGCCTCATCGAGCCCCACTCAAAGTGCTTCTTGGTTAGTCGGCGATGTCGTTTGGTCGAAGATCCCGGGACATCCATGGTGGCCTTCAATGGTTTCTTACGACCCAAATACAGCAGTTTCGTTCAAGTACAAAGGAAGAGCAAGATACTACCATGTGCAATTCTTTGGCCAGGATCCTGTGCGTGGATGGGTCTCTGAACGATCTATTTTGAAATTTGAAGGTACGAAGGTTCAGTCTTAGCTCTCCTAAGAATTGGACGGGTTTGCTTTACGATAAATCTTGCTTAAATCTCGCAAGTTTTATCGATAATTGTGGGATTAACCTTAACACACTCCTGCTACGTGCCGTAATTAAACACCTCTTTTTCTCTTGGCTGCCTAAAACAGCGAAGGTAAATAATCTGCGTGCGAATTTTGCCATCAAAATTACATCTTACTCCGCCATGTTTGCTAACATTTTATTCAAAACAAGGCAATTCAGTCGCCAATAATTGAAACGAATTATTAAGATTCGTCGCGAATTGTGATTTGTGTTAACTGAATTTAATCAAGGACTTGGCAGAGTCAAATCTGAACCTTCTCCCAAGTTATGGAGAATTGTTTTCGTATCTCAGCTCTCCCATGTAAATAGTTCACTGGGTGTACTTGAGCTCACAACCTGTTTTGGCGCTCGGCCATCGTAGATTACGCTAGGCCGCTAAGCGCATGATCAATAATAATACGACAGCTGGTTTCAGAAGAAAACTGTGAATTTTGCCAAGATACAATCGTTGTCAGTGCTAAAGTTATTTTCTTCTTTCGATTTGTTCATCGACTCCATGTGCAGAATTATTTTTATTTCATTCAAAGACGTCACATTTTGCATAAAACATATAACTTCAAAGATAGATAAGTAATCATTATTATTCATTCTCAGAGAGGGAGCCTTTCATCTTTTTATGTCATGAAAATTTGCAAAGAAATCAGCTGGTCAAGATACATCATATTAGTTCCAATTATAATTCACTGTCAATATGTTACATTTTTATTGCAAATCTGGAGGCCTACAACTGATTCCATTGATTTTCATCTTAACAGTTTTTTGGTGGTTCTCAGATAATGGCTGAAGGAAAGGATATTTTTACCTTTTTTTGCTTTTCAGGTGTTTTAGCTGCCTTGTGATTTTCAGAGAGTTTTAATCATGATTCAAAAAAATTAAATGACCTTTTGCTGTGCAAATGTCAATATTTGAAACAAAACCTTTGGCAGTTGCATATGAAATTAATGGTTTTCACACAAAACATTTTCAGTTTAGCTTCCACACTACTAAAAGATCTTGGGATGTCTATAAATTATTGATTTGTTATTGGTAATTTAACTTTCAGATAAAAACAAAAAGTTAATAACTACATTACTAGTTTTATTTGTTGTTAAAGGATATATTTCTTAAATTCAATCTTTCAATTTACATTAAGTCACTTCACAGTACTTGCCATTAATCTCAATAACTTATGCAAAAACTGCCAAGTCTGTGTTTTTGTTTTTTGACATGAAAGTTAATTAATGCCATAATAGGTTCCCTCTCCTTTTTCTTTAAGAATATTCTGCTTGATTTGTGCTGAAATCAATTGGTAGTTTTTTTAAAGGAAGAACCACTTTATATTGGCAATTAAAGATATTGTTCTCTTGGCAAGTATTATGATGTTTTCAGATAGAATCTAGATTTAATTACAATGTTTTTCTTTATCAGAGGGTTATATTTAAAAGAGCAGTTGATGAGATCTGTACAGTTTGACATTTGTAGTTATTCATGAAAGATACACTTCTGACTCTTTTTGTTAAATTGAATCGGCTTAGTCCATAAACTCCCAGTTTTATTTGAACTTAGGTAAGGTTGCCATACAAAGCATGTACTTACTGATCTGAAATTCAAATTTTCAGTATTATACAGTTTTATTATTATAGACAGTAACTATTGGCTAATATTTAACCCTTTAACTCCCAAGATCTGATTGTTAATTCTCTCCTCTAACTGCTACACATTTCCTTGTAAATAAGTTACAAGAATGTGGTACTGGATCAAGATGACAACTTCAACCTGATAAGTCTGAGTATTCTCATTACCTTTATGCTGGGTAATGTATGGATATTATGGGGAGAAGTAATGTGTTAATCACTTCTGGGAGTTAAAGGGTTAACCATAGCACTGGTGTTACTTTAAACTCTTTCAGCATTTCAGTGTGATAGAGTGAAGGGAACATTGTGTTCTCAGTTGACTCTTTTTGTCAAATTGAATCAGCTTAGTCCTTAAACTCCCTGTTTTGTTTGAACTTGGGTAAGATTGCCATACAAAGCATTTACTGATCTGAAATTCAAATTTCAATGTTAGACAGTTTTGTTATTATTGATGGTAACTATTGGGTAATTTTTAACCATAATACTGGTGTTACTTCAAACTCTTTCAGCATTTTAGTGTGATAGAGTGAAAAGAACCTTGTGTTCTCAATTCTGATTTTTGTGTTAAAAGTTACAAAGGGAGAAATAAGCTGCCAGCCACTCTAATGGTTGAAGGGGTCAACTATGACCAAAACTGAGGTATTGGGACCTAAAAAATGTTTCTGTTTCCTCCATACTCACAAATGATTGCTATATTATTGTTATCAGGGATTTTAGAAATATCGTTTGAAATTATTGCCACTCTTAGATAAATACTGCATTGGGAATGCAAGTGTTTATTTGAGTTACTTTGGTAGATGTTGCTGAATTTATACATTTGTATGTTATGTGCAGTTTGAAAAGTTTCATTTAAATCTTTGATTAATTTTTGTTCCTTGCTCAGGTCGACAACATTTTGAGAGTTCCCTCCATGGAAAGCAACTCAAAATTGCACAAAAGCGAGTGGTACAGTGGGAAACAGCAGTTAAAGTGGCAGAAAAAGCAAAGCCAATGAATAGACATGAGAGGCAACTGTGTTACACTTTCAAGTATTATGACAAAAATGACGCGAAACGACTGGACCCCCTGAAAATGAAGAAGTTGAATGGTTTTGCATCGCTGCCAGAGCAAGTAAATGGTTTGATTGATGAACATGCTGATGAAACATCTGATCTTAGACACTCAGAGGCAGGAGATGCAGATGTTCTGCTCTTGAATGGAGTGTCGCATTGTACAAATGGGCCAAATGACGAAAAAAAGAAGATTGGTAAGGGACGGGTTCAACGTAAGAGGAAACTGACAGCTATAGCAGCAGCGGCAAAGGCTGCTTCAGGCGACAGTGGCACAAACAAAAGTACTGAGCCACCCATGAAGAAAAAGAAAAGGACATTGAAGCAAAATAATATTTTAGATTCCTCGGGTCAATTGGAAGATAACACTGACCAAGGAGATGTAACAGTTAAGATTAATTTGAGCGATGAACTCCATCTGAATGTGTCAGAGTTGCGTGAAAAGTGTAATGGACTTATTGACAGTGCTGGTGCTAGCACTCCTCCAAAAGTCAATGGTGATGCTGCTGCTTTTGGAACAAACTTGGATGTGTCACCCAGCACTGCGCTTAAGTTGAAAATTAGAAAAATTACACCAAAACAAAACCAGCCAGAAGGGAAGCGGAGAAGAGGAAGGCCATGTAAGCCGCAGTTTGTTATTGTAAGTGAGCAAGATAAGGATTTGTCTAATCACTCAAATGATGTACATGTAGAAAACGAAAAGAAGAAGCTAGATGGTGTGACAGAGTTACCTCCGTCACCAAAGAGTAGTATTGCTAAATCACCCATAAAGAAGAAAAGGGTACGGAAACCTTCCAGTAAGGTTTTAAGTTCTACCAAAGTTGCAAAGTTGTTACCTGTTAAGGAAAAAACACTGGTAAAAGAAAAGACAAAACTAGATTCCAAAACTAAAAAGGATGAAGAAAAGAGGAAAGAAGCTTATGAGGTGAATGGTGTGGTGGAGAAAGAGGGAAGTGTGGCTGGAAGTGTTACATCATCAAGTATAGGAGAGGATACAGGAAGTGTTAAGAATGGAGGAACATCCAAGAAGGAGAAAGAAGCAGTGTGCATTGTGTGTGAGCTACAAGACAATCTGACCTTTTGTGAGGGTATTTGTGGAAATGCCTTTCACTTGGATTGTATCGGACTGTCCGTCATACCAAAGGGGAAATTTGTTTGCGACGAATGTGTGACAGGGAATCACTGTTGTTTTGTATGTAGACAGACTGGAAATGTCAAACAGTGCAGTCAACAATTGTGTACAAAGTACTACCACGAGGACTGTGTTAAAACTTTCAAAAGCACAAAATTTGATGGTGATCGCTTTTACTGTCCACTCCATTTTTGTAGTACATGTGTTAGAAACAAGTCATCGGTGTCGAGAGGAAGACTGATTCGTTGTGTGCGTTGTCCCACAGCATATCACTTATCTGGCTGCCTGGTGGCAGGCTGTATTCAAATTAGTTCTCATCTCATGGCATGTTCAAAACATTTCTTACGTGAGAAAAACAAAGCGCACCACACTCATGTCAATGTGAACTGGTGTTTTGTGTGCTCCATTGGAGGCACTTTGATTTGTTGTGAGAGCTGCCCTGCTGCATTTCATCCAGAATGCATCAGTTACGAGGGTATTCCTGAAGGACATTTCTTTTGCAAAGATTGCACAGAAGGCAAGGAGTTGCTTTATGGTGAGATTGTCTGGGTCAAACTGGGCATGTACAGGTATGGTATATTTATTTTTTATTTTTGTATATTTCCAGTTTCTAATTAGTTCAACCTGTGTTATTTTTCTGGTACATGACGCAAGCAGGGTGATGATGGGAATTAAAAATTGCACAATTTTCCTCTTGACTCTTTAACTCCCGAGATCTCAGTATTTATCCTGTCTTTTCTCTGGGTGCTATTAGAGGGGAAAGATTTTGATTCAAAGGACTTCTGAGCTAGTGGGCTGTACAGTGAAATACAGGGTGCTTAATTGACCAATCATGATGCATGCACATGTACTTTCTGAGAGATAAAGTATATTTTACAAAAGTTTCATATCTGATAGGTTGAGGATAAGGAACTGACCAAGGGTGAAAGTTAATAATAAAGGATTTATGAAGAATGGTTGCAAGGGTTTATCATTTTTTTATTTATTTCAGGTGGTGGCCAGCACAGATTTGCAACCCACGCGATGTACCCACAAACATCCAGAACATGCGGCATCAGCCAGGGGAATTCCCTGTCATGTTTCTTGGTTCACGGGACTATTATTGGATCCACAGAGGGCGTGTGTTTAGCTATCAGGAAGGAGACAAGGGCTCAACAGACTCTGGAAACAGCAAACACTTGGCTAAGATTTTCAAAAAAGGTCAGAAAAAGTGTTCTTCAATTGTTTACACTTTTAACCTTTTAACTCTTAGATCAAATTTGTAATTCTCCTTACTGTCAACTATACAATTCTTATCATATTAGTTCAGAGAATTTAGTATTGGATCAACTAATTCCCAAATTGATATTTTTCTTTATTCTCATTACTTATCTGGTTGATATTGTATTGATACTGTGAGGAGAAACTCTGTCTTGGTCACACATGGGAGTTAAAGGGTTAAAACAAAATCAGGGCTCAAAATAACAGTTGTTTAACAGACAATGTCTTGTCTAATATAGGTTTTGTTTGATCAACTCTCTGGATGGCTGCACATTTTGTCTAGTTGCTTAGGCATGTAAAGAAAAATTTGATTCCAAGCTAAGTTCAGAGTTAGATTCAGCTGTATCACTTTTACTGCATGGAGTCTGAAGCTGCTTTTACTCTCAAAGCATGGTTTTGCTAGGGGGGTGGGGGGAATTTATTGACTGGGCAACATGACTGATGCTAGCCCAGAAATTATTTTGAGCCTCAAAATGAAAGGGTTTGCTTTGGTTATAAAAAAAACTTCAGAGCTTATGGAGTGTGTATGGGTCATGGAATGTGGTGCAAGATGGCTGCTTTTAGCATTTTTCAAGGTCAAAAAGCATCATAAGAATCTCGTACATATTTTCTCTTGTTTTAGCCCTTGTTGAAGCAAAGGAGAAATATGCAGAATGGAGGACAGCACAAGAAAATAAAGCTGAACAGGATCTACAAAAGATGTCCAAGAAACCAGCACCTTATAAACACATCAAGGTTGATATTAGTGCAAATTGCCAATTATAATGAATTTCAATGAACAAGAAATTTTTTCCTCCTTGAACCATTCCTTGCAGTTGTTATTGCAGTGGTATGCAACCTTGGGAGGTAAAGTAAAAACCAGGAAATGTGTTGCAGAGGTCTTTGAGGAAAAAAGAAAGCATTTGATTGCATTCGATTGCATTCTTTTGCTTACATTCATACGTTCAACACGCATACATCAACAGACAACAAATTTCTCATTCATTCTACCACCATTGCACATATCATCTTTTTGTGACACAAAGACAACAACACATTTGTGCATTCTCAAAGGCTAAGAACTTTGCTACAACAATGAGAAATAAGACTTTGTCCCATTTTCTTTGTTTGTTATTTTTTTACATACTTTTTTGTTGTTGTTGTTTTTTTTTTCTCACTCCAGGTAAACAAGTGTACCACAGCTGTCCGAATAGTGATTGACCCATCAGAACTACCAATGTGTGACTGTTCACCAGATAATGATAACCCTTGTGGCCCAGAATCAAACTGTCTGAATCGCATGCTTCAGTTTGAATGCAACCCAGCAAGATGCCCTGCAAAGGAAAAATGTCAAAACCAACGATTTCAAAAGAGAGAATATGCAGACTGTGAGCCCTTGAGAACATTACACTGTGGCTGGGGGCTTCGCTGCAAAGAAGGTTAGGGATTGGACAAAATATTGATTAGTTGAAATATAGTTTGAAGAGGTGTCTGGTTAGGAAACCCAGCAGGTTTCTTTGTTTCATGCTTTAGACCTGATTGTGCAGAACATTTGATAGCTTTCAAAACACTTGGCTGACTTTGGCATTTCCACATCGGTAGATGCTCGTCAAGCACAGTTGACCAAAGACTTTTTGATTTATTTAGTCATATTGTGTGAAAGCAAAAAAAAAAAAAAAAATGAAAGATTGTGCCTTGTCAGTGCCAGTACTTTCATCCTTGAGTTGTACCTGCCTTTGTAACCATTCACATCTACTAACTATGCTAAAAAAAGAGTGTTTTCAGTGAGTATTGACTTTTGTGCTGTTTTTGTGTCAGTGGTTATCAACAACTGTTTCCCATTGGCTCGTCTTGATTGTCTTCTTTCTTTTTCTTAGCTGTTGATATTTTGCTTTTAACTTTACAAAACTCAGTGGAAAAAGAGCATTTTTGAGAGTAGGCCACTTAATTTAAGTGTTCCTTTATTTTATCTCAGATGTTAAGAAAGGCCAATTTGTAATTGAGTATGTTGGAGAGCTCATCGATGAGGCTACATGTCAAGAACGCGTACGGAAAGGAGAAGACATTACTAACTACTACATGCTGACAATAGACAAAGATTGCATTATTGACGCTGGTCCCATGGGGAATCTGTCACGGTTCATGAATCATAGCTGTGATCCAAATTGTGAAACACAAAAATGGACAGTGAATGGAGAGGTTCGAGTGGGTCTGTTCGCCTCACGAGATATCAAGGAAGGAGAGGAGCTAAACTTTGACTATCAGCTGGATTGTTTAGGTGGGTCAAACAGTTTATTTGAGTTAGATTTGATCAGGCATTGAATTGAAGTGTTACATCGAGTTACATGTGACCACACTTTTCAATAACATGCACACTCATAACCCTTTACATCCTGAGTAGACATATCCTCGATTCTGTTCTCTCTACATTTTCTAAGGTGCTGACAAGGAGAATTTGTTTAACAAGTAAAAGCTTCTTTGGGATCATTTTTTTTATTCTCATGACTCGAATGTGTGATTCAGGTGTGATGTTTTGAGGAGAAATCAGATCTTAGTTACTCTTTCAGGTCAAAGGGTTTAGTTGGAGATGGAGTGTTGAAAATTTGTCTTAGGTTGTTGTCAGTCATCAATTGTGTTTTGTAAAAAGTAGCAAATGTAAACAACCATTACAAAGTGGAGTGGCTCTGCTGTGCTTTAGGATGATCTTGTCTTCATTGTCCACGCAGGAAATGAAAAGAAGAAATGCAACTGTGGAGCCAAAAACTGTAGCAGCTTCCTTGGTGTGAGACCCAAGAACCAGATCCAGGAGGAAAAATCTAAAAAGGTGGACAAGAGAAGAAAGAAGAAAATCAAGAAAGCTGTTGTCAAAGAAGGTGTGTTTTGAATTGATACGAAATGTTGCCATATCGCACTATGAAGAATGAAATTTTTTTTGCTTTCAGTGCCCTTTGTTTCAATGTACATGTAATTTGGTGCCAACTAGGAAAACAGGTGTTTCTTTTCTTTTCTTCTTCACAAAGATTGGGCTAAAAGGCAAACTTTCTAGGAATGCATTTGTTATTATTATTATTATTATTATTATTATTATTATTATTATTATTATTATTATTATTATTATTATTATTATTATTATTGTTATTGTTATTATTGATCTAACACAGAACTTTATCTGTTGACCTAGCCTTGGCTCAGTTTTTTTCTGACTCATGTCCAGACATTGGACATAGTAGAGGTAATTCTTAGAATATTTGCAGCATGAAAGATTCAAAGCTTCTCTGGGGAGAGAGGGAGGGGTGGGCACTGGTTGGTGCCATGCCTCCCCTCCCTCAGCCCTTAACTTTTGTTGCAACCAGCTGAATGGTTCAATTCTCTTCCCTGTTGTGCTCTTGGATCAATGTCATTATCTGAGCATTTGCTTATCTGTGTACCTACCCCCTACCCCCTCTCCCCCTCTCCCTCTTGTTATCAGTAGACTGTTGTGGGGCAGGTGTGCAGTTGCTCAGGTATTGATACTGATCCGTCTTCTTACCGAAAAATTATGATTAGAGGGGAAAAAAAACAGAATTTTACTGTACAAAAAAGTGTGAACTGTATACTGTACATTTGCAGGTGGAGTATTTATTCATGGCCAAATTGATATTTTTTTATCCTTTTGCTTGTGCATGTATATCAGAAACAGGAGATCCCAATACTTGTTGAATTACTGGCTTCAAATATTTTTGCTTTCACTTACTCTGCTACTGTTTTAACACATAAACTTTTCTTTAATAAAATTTTATGCATGTAATAAAACAAGTGGTAATAAATAATAATCCAAATTCTAAATGGGCTTTTTATCTTAAAGTATTTATATAAACTGCCATATGCTTTGAAAATGCTCACTTATGACTAATTGTGGAGGAGATTGATCTGAATTTTCGTGAACAGCCTTTTAAAAGCGTGGCTTAATGAACCTAAACTTTGCAATTCTGATGCTAAACCTTTAAATTAATTTGTGCTCAAAGCTTTCAAGAAACTTCTCTCAAACGGAAGCGTTACGAGGAAGACATTATTTTGTTTGATTTTCAGTAAGCTTCCTGTCCTTGGGTGCCTAACTAAAGTCATGGAGTGTTATTGATGGCAAAAAGGCTTTAGATTTAAAGGGCAGGTCGCGGAAATGATGTTGTACTGGAAAACGAACAAGCTATTGCTTCCCATGCCACCGGTTTTTTTGGTTTTTTTTTTTTTCGACGTGTATGATGCCTTCTTTCTGCTTTTTTATCGGGCGCTCAGATATTTGTAAGTACGTGCATAACGTGTGAAGTCACATTTCCAAGAGCGAGTTTCCCCCAACAGATGTTATCTCCTCTTTTTTCCGTTCTGTCCCTTCTTTTTTCCCTGGTGGGAGAGATAGAAGTATTTTGTTCTCTGCAAGATATTTCTTGACAGGTCTCTCAGTCCAAAACCTGATTTGCCAGTTTTTGAACAAGGGAACGTGTTTAGCTAAAGCTTCTGGTGAACGGAATTTGCCAACGTAGTTGATAGGTCTTCTTGGTAAAAGCCAGTTGCCTGGTACCTTAATGATATCAGAAAATTGTAGAAAAAATGCTAGGATTTTTTGGAGAAAAAATTTCTTTTTCGTGACGCAGGGCTCAGATGAATCGAATAAAAACATGTTTGTTTTCCTTTTCCGCCTTATTTAAACTTGTTTTTGATTGATTCTTGATTATTGGTGGCCGCAATCCAGCTTTGAAGTGATTTTTCCCTTTCAATTGTTTCTTTTCATTCTGGTGGAGGAAGATGATATGTCAAATTGAAAGGATGACGAGAAAGGAAACTTCTGGCTACGTTTAGCGTGGAAAGAAATGCAACAGATTTTAAGATTTTTTTTTTTAATTTCTGGGGATAATTAGATTTTAAGTTGTATTGTTTTGACCATTTTTTTACTTTGTTCTGAAGGAGTGTTTGAAGAAAATATATGAAATTTTTATCTTGGCTTAGCTATATATTTCTCAAGCTTTTTTCAAGGAAATGGTGATGGACTTTTCGAAGGAAAATTCTTCTCTGGAAAAAATTGAAATGAAAAGTTTTGTTGACAAGTTGTCTTTGTTAAATTCCCTGGTGTTCCTCTTAAAAAACAATATCGAAATGCGACTCTCTCGTTTAAGTAGGGACCTAAATGTACTGAATTGCAACAATCTGAGCGCCCGTTACGTGGGCTAGCTCCTTATCAAAAAAATCTTCTGAAGCAGACATGTTGTTTGGCTTCAGATACTCCAGTGTGCGCTGAACCACGCAAGCGACCCCCTCCTCTGCCAGCTGTCCATCCTGAAGCCTCTATTGAGCATGGCACAAGTTGTAACGCAACTGACCAAGCGTCTCTAAAGCTCACGGGCACTTCTCCTCTGAATAGCGCCTTGCCTTGGACATATAGCCCACTTCAACCGGGACTGACATTAAACAATAGTGCATAGACAAGGTGTGCTTAAAATTGATCCTTAAAATTAAAGGTTATTTGAGTTAAATGAGTTAGAAGAGTCATGAGAGCGTGAGTTAAACTTTAAAACCGACGTACAGTTTACTGTAAGAGCGCTTTTCGATTGAGTGTCGTAAAGCCAAAACCGGAGTAATCACAGCAGCCAATCAGAAGGAAGGAAAATGTAATATGGAGCCAATGGGAGCTCAAAGTAAAACCAAGTAAACTGCATAAAGCGCGGGAAAACGCTGGTGACCAAGTCTTGACTTGCTGTTAGCTTTGAATCTGATTGGTTGAGAGAGTGGTGCGATTTTTCTGGACCAATCACACGGCGAAGAAAAGCAAAACCAATGCAATTCCGGTTTGCTTTCAACACTCAGCAGAAAATTGCTCTACTAATTTATAACTGAGTAACTAAGGAAGAGGTTTTTACTTCTATTACGAACGTGAGACAAGGAAGAAATCAAGACAAAGAAGAGATTTCAATATCAGATTCTTTGGTGTCGCGCTGCTTTTTTTTTTTAATCTAAATTCGAAGGTTTGAGGTTCGAATCCTCGTCTAAGACCCTTTCTTCATTCGGCACATTCTATTGATGGGATTTTTAGTATTTACAGTAGATGTAAGCTATTTACAGTGAACTTATGGTAAAATGCGTATAATGCCTTGCATAAAACGAGAATTTAATTTTAGGAAACCAGAAGAGAATTAAGAGAATTAATCACGAGCAAACTTATGTGTTTCTTCGCTTGTATGTATGCTGGCCAACCCTGGCGCAATTGATTAAAACCTATTTCTGTTCCAATCAGTTAAACCCATAACTCACGACACGCAGCGATTTAGTGGACTCAGTAAAAGTGACATATAAAATATATAGTTTGGTAAACCTCTATCGCCGAATTACAGGAAATCATTTTGTTGGTCATTCACGAAGATAAAGCCAAAGCAAATTTCGATCGAATACCGTAAATCCTGAACCGAAGTTATCACAACGAACAATCGAAGTAAAGGCAGCTATGACAAGTGAAAACAAGCAAACTGCTTGAAGCGCGGGAAAACGTGTCGCGTTTGGTTTTAGTTTGGCGTCTGATTGGTTGAACAGTTGGTGTAGCAACAAGCAAACAAACTGTGTCGCGGTTGGTTTTATTTTGGCATCTGATTGATTGAAAAGTTATGGACCAATCATGAAACATATTGGAAAAAAAATCACTGCAGTTTCTAATTACGTTCGACACAATTGAAAATTGCTCCAACAAACGCCCACACAGAGATCTCTGAGTGCATTGCACTTAACAAGTTTCCATTGCAATTTCAGTTCATGAAGACGACTGTTACATCTGCGGTGATGGCGGAGAACTTCTCCTGTGCGACAAGGGAGGCTGTTCCAAGTGCTACCACAGGGATTGCCTCGGCGGGCCTGTTACAACCCGTGGGAAGTGGATTTGTCCGTGGCACTTCTGTGATGACTGCGGTAAATGGGCCAACGTCCTGTGCTCCGAATGCCCGAATTCTTACTGTAGAGCGCATGCGTCTGGTCAAATCACAGAAGTAAGTAATGGTGTTCACGTCTGCTGCGACCATATTGTGACGCGCACGAAGACTATACAAGACAAGGCATCGGATTTACGAGACGACAGTGGCGAACAAGAACCAGAATCCAGCACTGTTGTGGAATAGAGACAATTAGTAGACTTTTTAGAATTTTTAGAAGCTGTTTTAGGTCCAGAAATATTTTAGGCAGTTAACTTGCATTCAATTGTAGTTTTACGTTATTAGGATCATATGTTGTGGTAGAAATGAAGAGATAGTGCAGGGGATTCGCCATGTAAATTGTTTTCCAAGCAACTGGTAGTGTATTATAACTCCTTTTTCGTATTTCACAAGCGCGTTTCGCTTCGTGGTTTGCATGTTGAAAAACTAAAGAGCAAAGTTTATCTGTTTACTACCATACGTTTTGGTGACCGCTACAAACAACGATTTGACTTGACATAGATATGTTTCTGTATCTTGTTTGCTTCACTTTTTTATGAATGAATACACTCAGTAATTTGGATAATCTGTTTTAGGCCGCTGGAAATTGTGTATGCTGCTTTATTGAAAATGTCAGACCTGTTCCACTCTGGGATAGAAAGAAATCATTTTTTTAAATGTTGGTTTTGGAACCAGCCAAAATTTATCTTCTGTGGTAAAAACAGAGGCTTTTCAAGGCACACGAAACTGATGCAAATGGTTTCAGTTTTTAAAGATCTGTATTTCTTTTGAAGTAGTTGTCAGTATCCCTGGTTATGATTGTAGGCAATTTGACCAGGTTTGTAATCGTTGTGATTTTCATGAATTATCATACAAACGATGCACCGGTTGTATAAAGAATTGGACTGAAAGTGAACGCCTTGTGTCTACACATAAAGTGGTTATGTAGTGTAAAGTCACACCTATAGTTTAACTCAACGCAGGGAGATAGTGCTTTCCTCTATGAAAAATTTTATATTCGAACTCATGAGCCACCGAAGAAAAATGACTAAGAAGGCTGTAGCCATTTCAATTTGGGTTGTTGTACAGTTTTGGCAAACCACTCGCCAATTCGAACTTTTATATGAGTATTTATTTCAGATGTTAATTTATACTGTAGTAGTGTTAGACGTCCTCGCCTCTTTCAGTATTTTGGATCAGCAGTTCGTGGCGATTCTGTCGTGAAGAGTGCGTGGTTTAAGTTTTACTGCATCATCATTCTAATTAGCTGATGGACAGCACTTCAGAGCAGAGCTCTGTGGTACGCGTTGCGTAACTGTGCTGTGTGAAATCGTCAGTTGCGACCATCCTAACGAAATATTGATCAGTACTTTCTTTAGGATCCTAATTTTCAAAGCGTTTTGGCGAAACGATAATTTTTGGGTCAAGTGCTTGCTTTTCTTTTCTTTTCTCGTGCATAAGAATAGGCTCACGAAAGGATTGGGATATCTTTATCAAATATAACAAATAGTCCACGTTCATCTGCGGTTTCTTCCCAAACGCGGCACTAAACTTCATCGTTATGTTACTAAAACATTTGTACATTTGCAAGTTCTTCAAGTGAGCGCTATCAACGTAAAGTTGTCTTTGTTAAGTCTGTTCCCGAATCAGACTCTAATTCGTAGCATGTTGCGTGACGACCAGTTGATGTCACGCAATGCCGTGCCCTGGAAGTAATCATAGACAAATCGGAATCTTTATTTTCAGACGTAAAATTCTGTGAAATTGCAAGGAGTGGTTCCACCTGTTGAAAACGCTTCCATTACTTGATATGATTTTTTTTCAGTAACATGATCTTGTTTAGTGATTGCAGTGTTTTTAAGGTTAAATTACTTGTCTGAAATAAAATTGAAATAAAAGACTGTGACAACTTCTCTGGAGGTTGTGCTGATTACATGAAGTGAGATGAACATTTAATGCTGGTTCTCGACTAAACTGTGTGTCATCTGCTCAACAGAAACTTGAACTCTTGAGCCTGATACGTCGTGCGAGATAGAGTACTTTTCGATTGAGTATCGTGAAACAGAAAAGTTATCGCAACAGCCAATCGGAAGAGAAGAAAATGCCTTAAATAGTCAGTGAGAACTCGAAGTTAAACCAACCAAACTACCTAAAGTGCGGGAAAATGCGGGCAACCAAGTCGTGATTGGTTTTAGTTTTGGTGGCGAGTTTTTGGACCAATCACAAAGCAGTCCCGGGCTTCTTTCGACATTCGATTGAAAATTGCTCCAACGGCATAACAGAGGGAGATCCGTTTTTTTCCTCATGTCCATGTGCTATTAGTGTTATTATGTTAAGTCTACATGTTCGCACAAGATCAACAGAACGCCCTTCTCGTTCCATTTGCCCTCATTCCCTCTTGGAGCCAGTGTGAATCATGTCATTCAAGTACCTGAAAGACGCTTACTCATCGAGTGTCATCAAACAGCCAATCAGAACAAATTGTTTAATTGTTGTAAGGGACAATGGGAATTCGTTCAGGGGATTCTCAGTATTACACTGCGCATCCTGTACTGCGCATAAAAATCACGTAATCAGGCAAATAAGCGCGCGCTTACTCCAAGAACACGGTATTATTTCTTAATCAATGAACGAAGAAAAGAGGAACAATCGTCTTCAGCTCTTGAATGAGCACGTCGACTTATATTTTTTACTTCGTAACTTTGGTGTACAAATTATCCCCTTACAAATTATAACCTTTCTTTCTGAGGAATCACCTTATACACATGTAAGCGTCATCAAGCACGGGAGTAGGCGAGTGTCCAAGTCACCATTGGTTTTGGTTTTTCATCTGGTTAGGCGAAGAGGTGGAGCAAAATCTATAAATGAAGCATTAGGCGAAATGCAATTAAACGATTATAAATCCGGATTACTTCCAGCACTTAGCTGAAAATGGCTTCAAATTTCGCACATAACTGCCCCAAAGGTTGTGTGATTTCGTTCAACAAGTTTCATGTGCATTGAGGTGTGCGCGCGTAGCGAGGTAAGCGCGCGCAAATCGCGCACAAAAACCGCGCGCTCGAAGCCCATTGTGATGTCGTACGCACGCATTTGAATCATGCGAATGTGCCTGTAACCGACTTGTTTCAAAAAAACGGAACGGTGCTACCAGAACAAACATTCAAACACAATGAGCTACACCCCGAATCACTCCTATCGAGGGAATTATTATTACAACCCGCACTGGGTTCAGGCAAGCGGAGAAAATCCACCATTGCTTGTTTATGGTAACATGGTGGATTTTACTGTGGGACCAGACGGAACACATTACTTTAATCAAGTGCACAATGGCCCATTCAGTGCGCCTTCCTCTCAAACTGTCGAGATTGTGCCGGTAAGATACCATTTCACTCGAACGAGATTACAGCAGGTCTAAGGGTGAGATTCGAGTACATCTGTGCTCTGTGCTATATTGTTGTTACGCAAATGTAAAGACTTAAACGGTGGTAACGGTTGCATTTAGAGAGCGAAATCTTCGGTCGTGTGTTTCTCTGCCTGCCGTGTGGATGCTAAATTTATTCATAGAGATTTAGTCGGTTGAATTTCGTCCGCTTCCCAACATACTTCCCTCTCGAAAGTGTGTTTGTAACAAAAAGGGAAGGAAGTAAAAACCACCTAATTTGCTATAAATCGACCCAAAAACCACGCGGGAGACAAACGAACACACGACTCAAGTAAGGTAAATATCTTTTGGATAAATCGCTATCCAGCAGATAGGTGTTAACAAAACGTACTGCACTATCCACCGGATAGAGATGAATTCAGACAATAGCGTTATCCACCCTCGAAACAATCGGTACCACCTGACTGTGCTTGAACCTTTTCATGATTTCTTTTATTTATATATTTTTCATGTATCATAAGAATTGATTGAATTTGTCGATTCAAAGGAATCTGATCCAACTGCAAGCGAAGACGCAGTTAAAAGAAAGCCAGGCAAATCTTCCAAGTCTGATGACAAAAAGGCTGGACAGAAAAGAGATAAAGAACAAGGTAAAGATGAAAAAAAGTCCCAAGATGCTTCAGGGGAAACTGACTCCTCATCTGATGAAGACATTTGGGCCACCGAAGATGAAGATTGTTATGAAGAAAACGACTCTGACAGCTCTCAAGATGAGTACAACAGGGGTCCTTCGGTAGGTAAAACTAGTAGCAAAAGGCAGCCATCTCCAAGTTTCAAAACAATGCATTTTAATTCACCAGCGTGCGATAGTTTTGACGGAGGATCAACCGAGGTAGAGATCGGCATAGGTGGCTAGGAAAAAGGCTAAAGCCCCAGAAGGAGGAGGGGGGAGTACTTCCTACTAATAAGTTGATGAGATGTGTTAATGGGTACTTCGTATTTTCGCGACTGGATTGGCTATAGTTGGGTTGCATTTTCAATAGAATTATTAGAATGGTTTCGCACATTTTCGGAATTTTGGGGGTAAGTAGGGATATAAAAAGGGGAAGATTCGTAATTAAGAAGTTGTAACCGCTGGGATCGTGAAAATAACATTCATCCAAAAGTAAATAAGATGGGGTCTGTAATTGGTCACAGAATATTCTATAGTGGGTTCTGAGAGGCCAGTGGCACATACCTAGCAAATATGATCCTAAGAACCCTACACTTAGTAAAGCATTCTGTTAGAACTTAACTCAGCTGTTTCTCCAACTGAATCCAAAATCAAACATGCAAACGCCTCAAAATCCTTTTTCCGCGCCAAAGTCTAGCGCATGCGCAGACGTTATCCAGCTCTGTCGGGTAATCCCGCATGACTCCTGATCTCTCTCGACTAGGAGTCTGACCCATTTAACACAATGCTGGTTGTCATCCATAAATCGATGATAATTATAGAATAGAGAGCCTATTGACTGAGGGTTGTGGGACCAAAACCGGTCAGAACTGAGAAAGGAAAATACCTTTAAGTAAAAGAGAGGGAAGGAAAGGGGAACAAAAGTCTTCTTTCCTTTGAAAGTGGACGCGTTATTACCTTCATCGCGCGCCAATAAAGATCTGAAGCTGTGCTCATTCTTTATTTTAGCGGGATTACTCGAGGGATAGAAGGAGGCGACCTCTTCACAACAGACGAGCTCGCTCTCCCAGATCTCCTCGACGAGAAGTGGACGCGCGTTCAACCATCGTGTCCCTGGTGCCGAGGGAGTTTCAACTGAGCTGAAGTTAGCCTTTCACGTTGACGAGGTGACGCGAAATCTTCAGCCGTCGTATTCGGCCTTAAAATAAGTCGCTTTTCAGCTTTGATAAATTGCATATTTCCGTTCGAAGCATGCTTTGTTTTCATTTCATTTGTGTTATTTTTGTTGTAAACACGAAGGAGTTTGAGTGAATTGAATAAAACAATCGCTCCACAAACTCAGGTTCTTTTGAATCAGATCATTTTTGGCTTACAAAGACCCTCTCTGGAAACTTGAATCTGTAACTTTCTTCGATTGAGTGTCATGAACCAAGCTTAAACCGAAGTAGTCCTAACGGTCAAAGCGAACATAGTAGTAGCCCTTTCCAAGGAAAATCACAACGTAACATTGCTTCAAACCAAGTAAGCGTGATACCTAAGGAGTTAAAGAAAACCACGACGGTAATAGCAACGGGAACCTCTCTAAACAAAAGATTAAATGAGAAGAACAGTAGCTGTGCACGTGCGTTATAATAAAGAAATAAAAACGCGCCGAGTGCATTGTTGGGTTATGTAAACGTGTGGGAATTTTTAAAACACGAGAGAAGTGTGGAGAAGCACTTCTCTAGTGTTCTTAAAAATTCCCAAGTGCTTATATAACTCAACAATGCTCGAGGAACAAGTTTTTTTTATTTCTTTTATAAAATGTATCGTGAATTGCGCGCGCTCGTACCAATGACGTAAGCTGCGTGCATTATATCTCAACAGTGCACTCGTGTGACGTAAGGCGTGTGCCTTAAGGAAATATAATGAGCTTGTTCTGACCAATCACGGCGTCCTCTGCAAAACAACAACGTGAAATGACCAAACTTTGGGTTGTCTGGAGAATGTGAACGATGACGGCTAATATTTTGAATTTCCATGTCTAATTTAACGCTGTGCTCAGTATGCAGTTTTGAGATAGCTTGGACAGCGAGAAACAGAATAATGACTTTAGAGAATCGCGAGATTCGTAGGTAAAATATAAGTTCATTTTTTAACCGACGTTGTCCACGACGTCGTCGTCGTCATTTCTTAAATTCTATATTCCTAACCTTAACCCTAAACCAAACCCAAACCCTGACCGCTGGAGTATCGTGGGCTCACATGGTTTGAAACAATCATAGTGTAGTAGTACATTCCTGTTCTAGGCGTTCACTTAGATTAACAGGGTGAAATAGTCAACGGCGTGATAGTAGCAGCAGAGCGAAAACGAGGGAGGTTTGGGTCGAGTCGCGAAGAGAACGGCGTTTATTACCCAACCCGACCCAGATCCAGACCTCCCTCGCTTTTTAACTCCTTCGCTACGCGCCGTTTACTTTCGCGCTTCGTTTGACTAACTAAACCCCTGGAAATGGCTGGCACAAAAGGAGGAGCCACGTAGAAAACATAGTAAAACCAAGAGATTTGCCAAAATGCAATCGCTGTAAAACGCGAGACCAAGTCACAGTAGGTTCTAAGTCTTACCCGCAGTCAGCGAAAAAGACATCTGGTTTTTTACACGTCTCATTCTCTAGTGACGAGTTGAAGCCGAAAATACTCATTCTTATGATGTTTATTTAACGATTCAGATCAGGCTCTTGACTAGGCGCCATCTCTGATTGGTTAACACTTTTGGCAGAAAGAATCGTTACTCAGTGACAACCAATCAAAATTGCTTCACAGCCGTCTGTAAATTTACGTCGTGAACCATCAGATGTTGGATCGGATTTCCAACATCCACTACGTATAGCAAAACCAACACAAATGAATACGTATTGCAAGTTAAATCAGTACTTGGTTCTTTAAAGTTTTTTAATTGTCAGTGCGTTTTCCTCGTACAAACCTTTCACATGAAATTCACTAAAAACCATTTCCTCCCCTTGATTCGTTAACAAATACATTTTGCGTGCATAATTCAATTTACTTTCTAAAAATTGGTTACACTGATGCTCTTGGAGCAGATTTTAATAATTTCTACAAACATTTAGATGTGTCAAAAGAATAGGCGTTGATGAAATCATTTTGGTTTGTATATTTTAAATTGAATGACGAAGATATCAGATTACTTTCAAAGTGTTCACAGTTGTTTCACAGTCCTTTGTTATAGTAAAGCTTTGAATGTTTTGTCTTCTGCTGAATTTCGCTCTCCAGTTCAGACGGCAAAACCTGATAAGAAAACATAAATAAATAGATAAAATAGCACGCATCGAAACTTAAACAACGTTCGTAATGAATTTTCATATCATAGAGGGAAGCCATATTTTTGTCTGTCCCGTCAATTAAATCCTCCCTTCTTCGGCATTTATGGATTCGCAAGTGGCCCTCTACACATCCTCTTTCCCCTCACAAAAAATATGTTAAATTTTCTACTGTTTGACGAAGAAAAAAAACAAGAGTAAACGTGTGAGGTGATAACCCCGAAAGTTATTGTAGGTAGTTTTTAGGTCACGGTTCCTTGACCTTAGAATTTCAGGGAAATCTGAGGAAACGTCACCAAAGGACGATGCATAGCGGATTTGATGAATTCATTTTTTTATTCACTTATTCAAATTCCTTGATTACCAAATAACCAGAATTACCTTTAGAGATTGTTGCACGCACTTTTGTCCTTTTTCCGACAAACTTTCTCGAAACAGCAGTATATCTAGAAAATCTGATCTAAACACTCGGATGAGCGGTAGAATTCTCGAAAGTTATGCAAACTATGTCTGGACAAGAGGGGATCTCTCTTCTCTTCAGCCCACTGATCGAGAGCAATTATTTGTATTTATTATCCAACTGCACGAAGTAAAGTACAAAAAACGCGCGAATAGAGTAAAAATATCAGGCGATATTGTACAGTTGTTTATTCGGTGTCGCAAAAAAGAACCTGTTTAACCAGTCGGCTGCGCGCGTTAGGGTTCTCTTTCCGCTTTGATTTTACCGCCTTATGAGGAATGAACAGAAATACTCGGCAGAAAAAAGAAGCAGTTGGATAGTAAATAACTCATTAGACACTTTTGGTGTGTAGTACTCCCTATTATTTGTTGTTTGTATTTTGACTTGCCCTGAGGGCTCGTCAAGATACAGTACAACTCGTTAAAAAAATACTCAGCGATATTACACACCAAAACGTCTGATAATATAAATGTTCTTACCTCAGATGTTTGCGGAAACAAAGCAATGGCCAGTGGGAGACCAAAGCCAAACGCTGCCACACAAACTAGCGCTTGGACGGGAAGATGAAGTTTGGGACGTGATATCATAAATTTAGTCCTGTGTACAAAAGAGCAAATCAACAACTAGTGGGTTTTCGCTAGTTAACCCTTTAGCTCTCGAAGTGATCAACCTGTTATTTCTCCCAATAATATCCATACATTGTCCAGCATACAGGTGGTGAAAATACCTAGACTGATCAAGTAGGAGTCTTTGTTTTGATCTAAGACCCAATTCTCGTAACTTAGTTACAAGGAAATGTGTAGCAACTAGAAGGGAGAATTGACAATTGGATCTAAGGAGTTTGAATGTTAGGTTTGGTCTCCAAAATTACGCAGTTTGGTCTCAAAAATTACGTGCGTGTTTTTTCTTTTGTTTGTTTATTTGTTTTATTATTATCATTTTAACAGGAAAGTCTTAAATTAGGAAAATCTTAAGGTAAATGCGGAAAATGAAACGAAATATGGCACAAAAAATGCCTTCTTGTTCAGCCAAACAATGTGCAAATTTCTAGTTTCCAAAGAGAACGTTGCTCCGACTGAACTTAAATTGCAAATGTTACCTTTCTAAAAGTTGCATAACAAACGGTGGAATAACCAAGACGGGTAAAGGAAGAAGAATTCTAGTTACAGTTGTTTCAAAAACAGCCTGAAAAGAAAAAGAACAAACATTGCTGAAAAATAAAAAAAGAGAAAAAGAAACAGGAAAATTTCACAAACAAGTAACGCGAGCTTTCATAGCTGCGTTAAGCAACCACTACGTGCAAAGCAGTGCAATTATTCACGGGGATCTTCGCACTAAAGAATGTAATCTTCACGATTTACCTTTCGAGCAGCTATTTTTGACGTTCCCACAACGTTCCCATCTTTGTCTTTTACTTCAATTCCCGTGAAAAGCTCGTGGTTTCGCATAAGTACAACATTACATATGTTTGCAGTTGCTGTAAAGCAATCAGAAAGAAACGAACTCCCAAGAAGTTAAAAGACTGCACAAAACATTCACATTCGAACGCACGCACGAATACGCACGCACAAACACGCAAGTACACGCAAGTACACGCACAAAACTGAACCCGAAAGAAGGAAAAACTGTACATCTACAATACCTGTGGCTGGATAAGCTACTAATCGTTGAAGTAAAGCTTTCATGGAAAGATTGGAAATCTTTGCTCTTTTAACCAGGGTAGTTAGCCCAAGCTAAAGGGAAAAAAGTCTAACAATGAATAACTCAATAGTTTATACTACTATTACAATATTTTTCTTGACTGAACATTCAGTTGAATCAAAAAAGTCAAAAACTGATTAAGCAATCTGATTTTTCCTTGAGATACTGAGATCTTTATTTTATATAGAGAATTTGGGCAAAGCAGGTTTTGCAGCCATGTTTTGATCAGATAATTTTCTAATTCAGAAGCCAACTTACCGCAATTGTAACTGCACTAGTGACAGCACCAAAATAACTCAACAAAAATCTGCTGGTTGGTGTTGGCTTAAGATAAAAGATAAACAGAAAAACAAACCAATTAGTTCCAAAACTTAATGTGCAGTAAATCATTATTCACTCATACATTAAATTACGTTTTCTTAACAATAAAACAATGAAACAACTTCTAACCTTGCTTGCATTTCTGTTGGAGTAGTTCACTGCTGCATTGTGACTTTGGTTCATCCACTGAAACAACACACATGCAAACATTGAGTGGGAACCTGAACACCAGAAAAATGGTAGGGAAACTTTGAGGGGAAGCAGGTGGG